GAGTTGTGGATAATAACACAAACTATTAAATATACATCCAAACATATAGGAACCCTAAAAATAAACCAGCGAAATCACATGAAATGCATAACCAATACATGGTGAAACACAGAAGGCAAGGGGAAAAGACACAATACAATGGAAAAACAAAAACAATATAAGAATAAGTACAAAATAAAAATAATCCAAACTTGGGTAGCTACATACACTTGTAAGCGACTTGATGAGCAGTAAACTCAATATATGAAATACAGTATGTGCGCTCCTTAATATAATAAATAATAAAAATAAACTAAAACATATACCAATCTTAATAATAACACAATTGGAATGACATTCAGAAAACAAAATCCAGGTTGTTTCAATTCCTCTATAATAAATCCACTAATTGATAGTCAATCTAGACTGTAATAATCAACAGTGTGCTAAGGTAGACTCAATGAATTGCTACAATATACCAAATGGGGAGTATCACAACAATGTATATAAAATACCCGTTGCGATAGCCCTGCAGAGAAATGTATAAATGTAGATGAAACACGGATACACCACAGACACACTAGCAAGAAGATAATAAATACCCGTGATTATAGTACATGGGTGAAATAACATATAAATCAAAAACGTACAGATAAAAAATAAAAACATAAAAAGCATATATTAAAAATGTACCTGACCTCAGTGCGGACCCCCACCAGAGGTAGAAAACTAAATGAATTCAGTAGCCAAAGTTCCCATACACCGCTCAGGTAGACTGGTAGCAGAAGGCAGAGAATATGATGATTGTAGACAGATGCACCTTGTCCCAAATCTACCTCTGCCTTAATACCGCGGTCGGGATCTTCAAAAAAGACCGCGATATTATATCAATGGAAAAAACAGTGAAGAGAAATATAAATCCACCAATATAGGATGCCTCTTAATAATATACCACAGTCTGAGCCTTTGAAAAAGACTGCGGTAATCCACAGGAAAGGATGATAATAAATAAGGGCACCCGACAGCTAGAAAGAGTGGAGATGAGGAAACAGCCGGTAAACGTGTGAGCACGCTTGTCTTTTCCATTGATATAATACTGCAATCTTTTTTGAAGATCCCGACCATAGTATTAAGGCAAAAGTAGATTTGGGACACGGTGCATCTGTCTACAATCTTCATATTCCACAGCTTCTAAGATGAGCTAGTCTGCCTCCACATTAGTTACCTCTACAGGGGAGGGGGAGGCTGCTTTTTGTACCTTTTTCTTTTGCTGGCCCTTGGGTGGGCTTGTATCTCCCAGTCCTGCTTCTTCATTGCTGATCTTCTGCTGACAGGAGTCTCACAGTTGTTCCTCAAGGGGTCTGCCTGTAGCGGGGAGAAGAGCGGGGAAAGGGTCCTGGGAGGGGTCTGCAGCAGTGAGGGAGAGGGTTAAATCTGCTGCAGTGGGTGAGGGGTAGAGTTGGAAGGGTTAGGTGACGGGAAGGGTAGGGGGCAAGAGGGGGCTGGGTTTGTGGAAGAGGGAAGTGTGGCAGCGGGGGTTTGGGTAGTTTTCTTACCCTTCTTTTTGCCTGGCTTCTTGTTCATTTGGAGGGTCTCAGTTGGGCCTGTCGATGTGCCAGGAGCTACTGCCGCGAAGCTCCTGGTTCTCCTTGGGCAGTCCTTGTACATGTGTGAGGTATCCCCACACAGGTTGCAGGTTGTTCTCCTGGGACAGTTTTTCGTATCGTGGCCTGTCACCTTGCATTTCCTACAGGCAGATACATAGTTACATAGCTGAAAAGAGACTTGCGTCCATCAAGTTCAGCCTACCTCACATTTGGTTTTTTCTGTTGATCCAAAAGAAGGCAAAAAAACCCAGTTTGAAGCACAATTTTGCAACAAGCCAGGAAAAAAAATCCTTCTTGACCCCAGAATGGCAGTCAGATTTATCCTTGGATCAAGCAGTTATTACCCTACATTGAAAGATTATATCCTTGAATATTCTGTTCTTGCAAGTATGCATCTAGTAGCCGTTTGAACATCTGTATGGACTCTGATAAAACCACTTCTTCAGGTAGGTTGGTCTTGGTAGAAAAGCATGCCAGCTGAGCTACCTAGGGAGAAGCACTGCGGCAGGTGTTGCAAGTTTCCAGGAGAAGATGGATCCTGTTTCAGGCAGACAATTAGGGACCATCTTCCTGTCCAGAAGCCGTGCTTGTCTTTGATCTTGGCCGGGTCGCTCATCACCGTGCAGAAAACATTGCAATGTCCTTGCCAGGGGTGTGGGGATTCCTCATGAATACAGTCACCCTTCTTTCCTCTCTCTTTATTGGGCAGCTTCCTATAAATCTAGCAAAAGGGGAGTCTGGTTTGGCCACAAGGAATTGGTCCCAGTACCTCTTGCAGATTGCCATCGTGAACGTGACGTGGAACAGACCTGCTGCAAAGTATTGTACGCTCAGGGTCTCCACTGCGGTGAATCCTTAGTCCAGTATCATTTGTTTACTGAACATTTCCAGGTTCAAGTTGTGTATCCTCCTGTCCACTTCCTTCAGTTTCAAGGCTGTGGTCTTCATCCATGGCTCTAGGGTGGGTGCTACCCCATGGTTCGCTCCAGTTCCATTGCTCTTACCAGTGATGGGGATGGGAGCGGTCACAGAGTTCTGGGGTTTTGACCCAGTGGCTTGTTTTGTGGCAGTCTTGGCTCCTTTGCTGCCATTCTTGCTGCTCTCTGGGCGGTGATGGGGGAAGCGGAAAGGGTGGTTGAGCTGTTTAGCACTGAGGTTTCCTCCTCCGCAGGAGTTCCTACTGGATTACCTCAGCTTTTTCTCCTCCGCAGGAGATCCTACTACCACTCCTTCTCTGCTCCTCAGGAGTTTGCCTTGGCTTCCTTCTCCACAGAAGGCCCTACAGCCTCGGCTACTCGCTCCACAGTGGGTTGCGCTGCCTAGCTTTGGATATCTCCTCCACAGGAAATCCTAGTTCCACAGCTTGGCCTTCTCCTTTGTCGGAAGTTGCGCTGCCTTGGCTCCCTTCTCCACAGAAGGCCCTACCGCCTTGGCTTCCAGCTCCGCAGTCTGTTGCGCTGCCTTGCCTCGGATTCTTCCTCCGCAGGAAGCCCTACTTTCGTTGCTCTGCTTTCTCCTCCACAGAAGCCCAGTCTATGCAGCCCTCTGGATTCACTGCTGGCTCAAGCCTCAAGAGTATTAGGAGTCCTTCTCTAGTATAGAATCCACTCTGTGTTGGGGAACTCCAGCAGTTTCACCTGGGCTGCCTGGGGCAAAACTTTGTTGCTTCGGCTTCCTTCTCCGCAGAAGGCCCTACCTCAGCAACCCGTGATCGCATGCGTATAGCACCGCTGTTCGGATACTTTATCTGGTCAAAACCAAGAGGCCTCTCTGGTTCGATCCTTCCCCAATAGCAGCAGGTAGCTTAAGCCAGCTCGGGCGATGATACTCCAAGGGAAGATACTCCAAAGCACCTAAAGGCTAGGCACAGAACAGATACTACACTTGATCTTAGCCAAAAGGCCGAGAAGCGATCAGCTAGATTTGATCTCTATTCAAGTCTTCAACAGGTTTTGCTGTAAATATTCTAGAGATACTGATTTTTGCTTGAACAAAAAAGTCTTTATTTCATAATAAACATTTTACAGATTAAACATACTTACATCGCAGCGCAGTGTCAGACATTCTTATAAACTTTATACATTGCTAGCAGTCCGCATTGGGCATTTTGAGTTGAGACCTTTATTAGTGCCCAAGTACTGACTGCCAGCCCTACAAACATTAATGCACCATACATTCCAAATAAAATAATTAATGGGGGGGGAGGAATAGAGGGGGGCTTTTCTTCACTTTAAAAGTTGGGGTTGTGTTGATTGGGCTCAAGTCTCAAAAAGGGGGTGGCTGAGGGGCCTTAGTCTCAGTCCTACTCTTCTTCACCGAGGTTGTTTATTGTGTCAGTCTCTGAGCAGGCTGTGAATCAGCCTGCAGCAGTCTCGGAGAGTGACTTGTTCCCTCCTCAACACCAAGCGATTCCTGGCGAACCATAGGGCATCCTTCACGCAGCACAATAGGCGCCATGCGTCCTCAATTGACCCCACTGTGTGCTTACAGGAAATAGTCCGTACAGAACAGAGTTGTATGACAGATGCTGTCTTTTGACTGAGTCTAATAGTCGACCACAGACCAGCTCCCGGACAGAGTCCACCGTGAAGCATCCTCCCCGGGTTAGGACAGCGGTACCTGCTGACTTGCACCCGCTCCCACCAGACCAGAAGGATGGTCCGTGCGTCCATTCCCTGGCCAGGTGACGGTAGCACTTTGAGAAAGGGATGGAACATTCCTGCAAGATAAACACATCACAATTCTGAGAGGCTAGATATCCTAGCACAGCATGTCTGCATAACTTATCCTTAATGCTCCTAACATTAATGGTGAGAATGGAAATAGACGCCATAATTGATGTGGAGGAGAAAAGACAATGTCACCCACAGATATGACTGCTCAGTTACCGCCGACTTCCCCTGTTGGGGGAGGCTACTTCATTCTCTTCCTCCTTGGTCCTTAATGTCCAGTGATGGTGGTGGAGGTGGTGGGCGCGTCTCCATCTGAACCGGCTCCGCAAGGAGGAGTTGTAGGCTGTCGAGGGTTTCCGTATACTGCAGCTCTGGGATTAAGGATGTACCACATTCCAGGGCTTCTCGGATGAGCTCGTCTGCATCTGCGTCTGTTACCTCTGCCTGGGAGGGGGAGGCTGCTGTTTGCGCCTTTTTCTTTTGCTGACCCTTGGGTGGTATCTCCCAGTCCTGCTTCTTCATTGCTAATTTTCCGCTTCCACTGACAGGAGTCTTGCAGTTGTTCCTCAAGGGGTCTGCCTGTAGCGGGGAGAAGAGTGGGGAAAGGGTCCTGGGGGGCTCTGCAGCAGTGAGGGAGAGGGAATTTGCACTGCCTAGGCTTCCTTCTCTGCAGAAGGCCCTACCGCCTCGGCTACCCGCTGTGCAGTGGGACGCGCCACCTTGCTTTGGAGTCCTCCTCTGCAGGAGGTTTTAATTCTGCCGCAAAGCACCTAAAGGTTAGGCACAGAACAGATACTACACTTGATCTTAGCCAAAAGGCCAAGAAGCGATCAGCTAGATTTGATTTCTATTCGAGTCTTCAATAGGTTTTGCTGTAAATATTCAAGAGATACTGATAGAGACTGAGTCACTGGGATTACAGAGAGTAACAGGGTAGAAGGTGTGAGAACCTGCTTTATATGGGGGAAGCACAATGTGGACAATGGGTGGCCATTTACAGGTGTGGCAGTAGGTCGGGCTCCCTGATTGGCCAGGTATGTCTACTGATATGTAAATTACAATGTATTCTCATTACTTTGTGCTAACTGACAAAACCAAAGAAGTGAACAATATGAATGGAACAGTTTTTGTGTAGAAACCAAATTCAAGACTAAAGTTATAATTTATTATCCGATATCTATCTAGTATTAAATCCTTATCTTCACATTAATATATTACTCTTTGTATCAGGTTCTAACTTAAAATAAAGTTGTGACGAGAGCAATCTCGTCACATTGCATTGGAGAAGCCTGGTTGCTCGCCTGTTGCCTTTAGACTATGGCCCCATGTTAAAAGACCTCTTTTTTACGTGCAGAAAAGACTTATTCATGCTTTTCTGCCTGGTGTTCGGTAGATTCAATCTACCGAACAACCGCTCGAATGACTGGACCACCTGGGAGCTGGAGTGTGCCGGCAATTAGCATCCCTGAAACTGCGGTTAACCGCAGCTTAATTGACGAATGCTGGGCGGCCGCCATTCGTATCACGAACACGAGGTCGCGGCCATTTTAAACATGCGAATGCACAGCGGTGTTCGACGCTTAATTCATGGAACTGAAATCAGACACAGTTTTGCGCGAACACCGCTGAAGCCACTGACCTCCCTTCTTGTTCGGTGAAAGTGCACGAACGGCCCGGTAGTAGTAGTTTTGTTTGAATGTGTTATACCCCAGATAGGAATCCCATGGAGCTCATTCGCATGAAACTGACTGTGTAAAGACTTTGGCTCCATGGCGATTAAACTGTATTCGTGTGGTCTGAGCGCCATTCGCTTAATAATGTGCGCTCAGACCTGAGCTATCTGGGGATATGTTAAATGTACACTTTTAATGTTATGTTTCTCACATAGTGTATTTTAATAGTAATTCTTGTGTTAGTATCCCCACGTGCATAATGGCGATTTGCCTTTGTCTTGGGAGATAATTGAATTACTCCTCAATTATCTCCAAGGCAGAGGGGAGGAAGCCAGGATGCATTGTGGGAATATACTGTGACTGTGTGTCCTATTTGTCTACTTGTCTGTCCTTTGTTACAGTCTCCCATTTGGTCCCCTAGGGGAGTGTCCACCAGGTGGGAGACCTGCATATTGCTAGGATTGCTAGGAGTGTAAGCCGCTTGGATGCTTTTCCTATTCGTCTGCTAGCAGCAATTCGTATGGTTCCAGTTCGTGTGTTTGGAGTGCTATATTGGATGCCGTTCGGGAGTTTGGAGCATTCACTTATTGGCGGTTCGTGAGTTTGGTGTTTTACAATAGCTGTGCCTGCATCTCTGGAAAGGGTGACGATCGCCTAAACGGTTTTTACCCCTTATGTGCAAAACGGTCCGTTACAAAAGTTAACCAAGGATAGTCAATAGAACATGATACATTGACAATCCTTGAACTGTCCACTTTATAAACATCCATAACGACACAATCTCTCGTTAGTGACAATTTCCTGTTTGTGAACATTCATTAGGATAAATCTATACTTATAAAAATGTGCAAAGAGTGAACATAATTTATAATTCAGACCTATTATTTTCTATATTTTATTTATATGGTGTGATAAAACACAGCTTCCAGTCTCTTTATGGGTGAGGGTCTGTGCAGTTTTTATATCCTATAGTTCCTGGTGAATATGTGGGAAATCCATTCTGAAAGTGTAGAATCATACACTCCCAGATGGGAAGAATATATTTGATACTTTTAGATCATTATACACAGCCAATTTGAAACTATTTTTAAATAATTGAATATACATAACCTGCAATAGTCGGTATGAAACTTATATACTGCAGGATTGTTGGCCAAATCATTTGTCTCGAAATTGAAATTTAGTTTGGAATCCCCACTCATTTATGTTAGGGTTTGTCTCGGCTTAATCTCTAATGGAATGTTAATACTCAAAGATTAAAATAAATTTGCATATTTAAAGAACTGTCTAAACTTTGTATATTCTTTGAAATATTTTACATAAATAACCTTGTGGTTTTGAAAACATTTACCCTGTATTTAGGAATATTAACACACATTTTATTACAATAGTGTATACACACCCCAATATGCATAAATGGCAGACTATGAATTATAATGAGAGAGAAAAAAAAAAAGGTAAGGGCTGCGCCAAGGAAAACTAAATATAAAAAATATGACAAATAGTCCAAATAAATGAGTAAAAGGAAAAGAAAAGTCTTATCTAAAATAGGCTTTTTGAGGTCGTAGAATCTATCCGTGCTTGATCCAGAACAATTGTCCTTGTTATTCTCCTCCGTATAGGTCCGCTCATATGTAAAAGATAAAAAAGTGGAGAGCCAAATAGTGTAAAATGCTTTTAAAAAGATGAAAGTAATAAAAGGCTGAAATAAAACTCACATTTATAAGAGCTTAAACTCGCTCTAGTGTGAAGGGCATACAGCGGTTTGATCCCTGCTTATGGGATATAAGGTGAACTTCCTCCGTCAGTGGTATATTCAACACTCGGGTAAAGAGAAACATATATATATTTATGTCATATTTTTACATAATTAGGTATCTTAATTAATTACAATTACAATTAGCGGGACCTGCCTGCCGAAAGTATAGGGAATTTAATTTGCTAGCACTATATTTACCCCTATAACTTTCCAAGACACCATAAAACCTGTACATGGGGGATACTGTTTTACTCGGGAGACTTCGCTGAACATAAATATTAGTGTTTCAAAACAGTAAAATGTATTACAACGATGATATCGCCAGTAAAAGTGACATTTTTTGCATTTTTCACGCACAAACAGCACTTACACGGACGATATTATTTCTGTGATACTTTTTACTGTTTTGAAACACAAATATTTGTGTTCAGCAAAGTCTCCCGAATACAACAGTACCCCTCATGTACAGGTTTTATGGTGTTTTCAAAAGTTACAGTGTCAAATATAAGGCTTGTGTTTCATTTTTTTCACATTAAAATTCGCCAGTCTTTTTTAGTAGCCACTTAGTCACAAACACTGGCCAAAATTGGCATTTTTTGGATTTTTCACACACAAACAAATGTTAACGCAAACTTTGGCCAGTGTTTGTGACCAAATGGCTACTAAAAAAGACTGGACGTACCCCATTTGCAATAGCTTGGGTTGTCTACTATTGCAAATGGTATGCCATTATGGGTGTAAATTTCATTCCCAGGCTACTATACAGTCTCAAAGGCAACGTAACCAATCTGGCGAATTTCAATTTCAAATGTAACGTGCTATATTTGACCCTGTAACTTCCCAAAACACCATAAAACCTCTACATAGGTGGTACTGTTTTACACGTGAGACTTTGCTGAATACAAATATGCTACCCTTGATAAAGGCTACCAGGAGGAGCCGAAACGTTGGGGGACTGTTTGTGACTCGTGTTTCTGCCCATATAGGCTTGTGAAATTTGGTAAATATATGGTTTAGCTTTTTTTGCTATTTTTTCTCCCATTTTTTCATATTAAATTATGTTTCATGGCTAAATATTTGATATTAAATGAAAGCCCCGTTTCTCCTGAATAAAATGATATATAATAAGGGTGGGTGCATTTACTATGAAAGAGGTGAATTACGGTTGGACAGACATGTAGCGCAAATGCCAGGTTTTGTTTATGTTTTGTTTTGTTCACAACGTGTACATTTGGCTCAGTCCTTAAGGGTTTAATCTTTCTAACATCCCAATTGTGTTAAGTAAAGGGATTGGGTGTGTTTTAGAAACTGGTAGAAAATAACCATCTGTGTCGACCAGGGGGCAGATCTACAAAACAAAGGTGAGTGGACATTCTACTCTACCCAGTGAGACTATGTACCCCTGAATGAATGAGGTCTGATAATTTAACTTGTTAATTAGTTTAAGAGGACATCTTGTAGGAGTACTGTGCAAGAGCCAGTAGAAAATCCCCCACAATTTAGCACTTTCAAAGCCAAGAGTTACCTCCGGTAATTTCAAACTTAATATACTAAATCCCATATTTACACTGTCTGGCATTGTATTAAAGGACACCTCTCTAGGGTGAGCTTAGAGGATGAAACAATAGACTTGTATGTGGTGAAACATTTTGGTTTTTGCCGAATTGATTGTTTGGTTTCTGTAACTTCATGTTTCTGGAGAATTTCGGTTAATTGTTTATGAAAACTTTGGATCAAAATAAATATTGCCAGGGAAGCCCGAAATTGAAGGAAATAGGTAATTCTGGTGTCCTTTTAACCCATTAAGGACTGAGGTAATTGTACCAAAACAAAACCTGGACTTTGACAACATGTCTGTTAAACCATAATTCACCCCTTTCATATTAAGTTGTATATCATTTTGTTAAGGGAAAACAGGGCTCTCATGTCACATTAAATATGGAACTATATAAAATAAAATGAGGAAATGTTGCAATTAACCAAGTTCTGCATGGCATTTTTACAGGTAATTTCATAAAACTCTTGGCTTTTACTGCAATAAAACACACATTTGTATGTTGTGATATCCCACGGGTACAATGATGCCCCCCTCTCTCCTCTTGTTATCGTGTTTTGGAAAGTTAGAGGGTCAAATAAAGAGCTTGCCCATTGAAATATGCAAGATTGGTTTGCTGGGCCTATGTTGCCATTGAGACCATATGGCAGATCAGGAATTCAAAATGAGGCATATCCATTTTTTTTTTTATTATTATTATCCACTTAGTCGCTAACCCTGGCACAGTTAGTGTTAATAGTTGTTGCTTTGCATTTAAAAAAAAAATCCTCTGCCCTTCTATCATTGATATAATCAGCATTATACATTTTACTTCTCTAAAACTTTCATATTCGTATTCAGCAATATCTCACGAGAACAGTAACCCCATGTACAGGTTTCATTATGTAAAGATATATAATAAAAGAAAGATGGTGTGTAAGCGCTTCACTAAATATTGTGGCAATTCAGTGCGTGGCTGAAATACTGTGCGGGTGGTGTAACTGGTATACTAGTGCTTCCCTTTTACACTAAACATCAACAATAACAAATCCCCAAAAATATACCAGTGTGTACGCCTCCCCAGTGTAACTCTAATAAATCAGGTAGTATTACCAATGCTGAACTTGGTTAGAATGTTATCTAAAATTTTAGGAAATACAAAACATAGTGTGAACTGTACAATGACACAAAGTGGTAACTCCCACTCACATTCTCCAGAGCCATACCAGGCTCTGTATATCAGGTTCACAGGTGCCAATATTGGCTAACGATCCCCTGACGCAGGCAGAAGATGCAGATGAGACTCCAGTATAAGTATTTAAAAAAAGTATTTATTGTAAATATATATATAATAAAAATGATATATATATCACACTGCAGGGTACTATGGGGGTGGAACCCAACATAAAAAACAGTCAGAGTTCCACTTACCCCTATGTAAAGTAACCCAGAGTGAATGAATATAATTGAATTATAAAAGACAAATCATATAAATGAATAGCAGACGCGTTTCGGCTAATAGCCTTCTTCCAGTGCTTGTCTCTGAGTCCCAATAAGTCTTCTTTTATACATATTATCCTTGCCGGTCACCTGTGTTGAATTTCGTGATAGCGTCGCGTCCCTTTCAGTTTCTTGCGTGATGTCACTTCCACATCCGGCAGATTGGAACGCACGTTTTCTGGATGTGGATTCACTGTTGGTTGCGGTTGATTAGTCCCCGTAGCAACCGCCCTCTCCAAATCTATTTTTCTACATCTTATGAATTCCTTTATGGTTCTCTCCAAATTTGTTTCTTATCTCCACACTGCAGGCTTCAGCAGGATATTAACAGAGCAGGAGACACATTCTAAATTAAACAGACTGTGCAAAAAATTGGAAGGTTTCTTTTGGCCTTAAATGAACACTTTAGTAGGCATGATCTATTCCGCCTGTGCACACATTAATCAATGCCCATATGAAAGCAATGCTTCAGTGCAAAGCATGAGGACAGCATGTTTTATGGAGTCAAACTTTGTGAAACTGCAGAAATAATAGAGGCAGTCTTAACCCTGCAATGTAAATGTTGCGGTTTCTTTAAAACGTTAATGTTTTACATTGCAGAGGTAAGTGCAACAGGGATACTGCACCAAGACCACTTCATGAGATTGAGTGGTCTGGGTGCCTATAGTGTGCCTTTAAATGTGAAATCCACTTTGAATTCTCATGTTAGCCAAGCTAACAGGTTCTTATTTTATGTGAGTTTGGGATACTTTTTTAAATTATTATTTCAAATTCAATTTGGTCTTAAAGGATTTATTTCATTTTTAAGGACTCCTATTTCAATGATGGTATCCAGGGCATTGTTTGACAACACTGGATCATCTGAGAAATGAGAATGTATTTCTTAACATCAATAGATAGCTAAACAGTAGATTAACACAGCCTTAGCATTCTTGAAAACAGAAACTAATTTAACTTGAAAACAACCAGAACCATTACATGATGGAATCATAATCACACTCCTTAAACCATCCTCTCTCTTTTAAACTTAAATAAAGATCCAATCCTAGGGGTGACATTTCACATGCAAGGGCTAGCTTTCTACAATTTTCATTAATAGAATTGTTATCATTAAAATCCCATGCTTGTGCCGCATTGTTCCTATTTAATGATTGTATCATATTAGATAGGTTACAAAGAGCAGAATTAATATTATTTAACTTGCTAATACACTCAGCACTGCTGCATTTTGGAAATCCTTCTGCATAGCCAGCTTTACCCTTTCCTAAAGTCATTCTTAGGTCAGCATCCATATTATCTGAAATTGATAAGCGCAGATGAAAGTTATCATTGGCAGCATTATCCTTATTGTTGGTCCATGGGCCAAGGCAGGGAAGAGCTAGCCACCAGCTTCCTCCTCTTAGACAGCATAGCCATCTCCTGCTGTTTCTTTCTGCACATTACATTTTCCAGCCTATGCTGAGCTGTTTGCCAGTCTTCTTTAGCTCCTTTGACTTCTTATCCACATGGTGTAATAAAGTTTACACACACTCAATGTCCTCCAGCCTATCATGATAATGCAGCTCCTTCTAAATGGAACGCTCAACCTTTCGAACATTGTTTCATGGAGAAGGGGATAGAGCAGCAAGCAGGCATGTTCCTAACCAGTCTTGTCCTCTGACGTCGGCGCTCTCCATGCTACCTCTTCCAAAAGCTGGTCCATCTTCAGCCGAAGACCAAGAATGGGCAGGCAGTGGTGATTATAGTGCATTGATTAGCTCTGAGCGTTGACTCACATTCAAGCTCCGGTCAGCAAAAGCAGGTGAGTAACAAATGGGGGCCTATATATAGTCAAACTGGTACCTGAACATTGTAAACTTGTGCTAAATACACCCGAGCCAATAAAAATGTAAGTTATCTACAGAGTCACACACCTTGAACTGGTAAAAACCGTAATAACTTAACTCAATACGGACTGAACCTAGCAGGGCTGCGTGTGATGTTTGTGGGCATAAATCCCACAACAGTAAATACTTTATTTGAAAATTAACTCTAAAAAGACTTAGTCCAGGAAACTTGGAGATCTGTAAGAGATATAACGACTCGCCCAATGCATATTACCCAATGCACAATGTATGAGGCACTTACAAACTTCCTTTCCAAAAAGGTATGTTGCCTTTTACCATCTGCTGATTTTTTTTCTCTCCTTTCTTCTCTTTTCTATCCACCTCTTTTCTCTCTTTAGTTCTATAAAACAGTCGCTCTTCTGTTGGATACATTTTCCACACATATATACTACATCAATGAAAATATTAATCAAGTTTTTATTAGAATAAATAATGACAGAATAAATAAAATAAAAAATGACAGATGTTAATATGTTTATTCCCGCCGAGTCCATCCTTTTTTGCCTCAGTATTCAAATCCAATCGGCCACCCAGTCGAAATCTTGGAACAGGTCTTGGTCTTCTAAAGGTGATTCTTCCGGTGGTGTTAGAATGGGGTCCAGTGTTGTAAAAGCTCTGTCGAAATGACTGACGTCCCCTGGTCCGGCAATGGATGGTACAAACGGATTTATGATATTCTTAAAAAGTAACGCACTCCAGTCTACTCCCTGTTAAAAAAATAAAACAGATTTAAGAAAAATTTGAAAAATAATTCAGGTGTGCCACGATATAAGCCAATAAACTAATAATTTAGAATAAAGGCCATTATCTCTATACATTCATAGATGGAATTTATACAACATGTACATACTTTGAAAAAAGGATGTTTCTTGACAGCACTGGCACCAATCCTGGCTCCTAGGCGGGATCTAGAGTTTTTATTCATAAGCTGCATAAAGGGGGGAGGAGATAGGAAAATGTTATTTTATCTGAAAAACTGAGAATTAAAGGCATTTTCTTGCAGGTTCTGTAAGATCTGCCTTTATCAGCTCAGGCAGAATATTTACTACAGAGATCAATACACAGTAGGCACCACGTCACAATGACATCATGTTTGGTGCCCAGACATTGCTCTGCCCTGATTGATGGTACAAGTCATGCTTACTGCTTGTATTTATTTCATTCCCCAAATATAAGTTTAACTTCTTTTAATCTCTAACTAGACCAATGTATTTGTGACTGCTTGTTCTATTCCGTTACAGCCAATCACACAGTTTTTACAGAGGACCAGCTTTATTTTCAGAGCCTTACCACTCAAACTGCCCGAGCCCACATTCACACACAGTGTTAGCAGCTACACAAAGCGGAACAGGCAGGAGCACGCATTGATCGGCCCACAGAATGAAACGTGTCTGTTCTATGGAGCAATGTGCATAATTGATAAGAGTAAAATTCTTCATATAAAAAAAGGAAATCATATGATTCACTTTTTGTAAAATCCTTCCAAACCTCCCCAATGCATTGACCCTTTCCATATACCTTATGTTTCACTTTCTAACAACTGTCAGAGTTCAAACAAGATGATGGGTTGTATGATGTAAGACGCTGAGCTGTGATGTCATACATCATTAAAGCCATACGAGCTGTATTGTTTAGAAGCAGAGCTCAATGCCGAATCTTTAATCCTGGAGCTTCCAAGAGCTACAACATCACCATCTGCTTATCTCCTACCAGACATAACTACTAATATAACAGCTCTCAGACTTCCTTCATCCCAAGGCAGCTCGTCGGCAATCCACTCATCAACAGTGATTGGAAATTCTGACCTCAGCTCACTCAATATGTCAAAATCAAAAAGCACTAAACACGCGTTGGCAACTTACACTTTTTATTATTGAGAGCGCTTCTAAAGACAGGAACTCCGGATAGTCAGGTTCAGTGTTAACTACCTTATATGATATCTCTGTCTCTCGGTCTTTACCTGTAAAGGGAAACTAATAGAAAAAAATAACATTTTAGATGCATATTGTAAGATGCAGAAGTTCATTTTTTGGGACAAAATATTTATTATCCTGCTAGAAATTGTCACACACATACAATAAAAATCACTGAGTAATATATACTGCAATGAGAGTCATGAAAAAATAAGTTATTGATGTAAACCATTAAACACTGTGGCAAGATGACAATAGTGTTTATAGCACTCACACTCCTGAGAGCCAATAATCTGCTCTGTATAAATGGCCCACACAGAGAGGGCACACAGTCTTCTCAAACTGTGACAAAGAGAGTGCCCACTGTGCAGGGTTGGCCTGGAATCTACACTGGGTAATTTCTCTAATGTAAATGGTTTTCCAAAGCAGAAACAATAAATAAAATATAAAGAAATTGAGAGGGTATTAGAGAGATAAAATCAGTTTAAATAAAGTAGAGAGGGAGGTATTGGGTTATGATATTTAGATAAGCACTATAATGAGCTAAAGTGCTCAGGGTTGCCCCTTTAAGCCTAACCAGTCTATAGTTTAAGATACTATCAGTTTCATCAATGGACTGGATGACATCACACAAGGAATTTTGGTTTTCAAAGAAGGAATCCTACAGATTGGTAAAAATATGCTATACCTACCCTTCCACACAGCATGACATAAATGACTACGCCCAGACTCCACCAATCAACAGATCTTGCGTATGGTTTTCTCTCAAATATTTCCGGCGCCATGTATTCCAGTGTGCCACAGAAAGAGTTGGTTCTATCGCTGTATCCCATCCCTTGTAAATAGAGAAAATATAAATGTACGTTGGTAAATATAGAGTTGGTTTATTTTGCTGATATACAGTATGTTATTTTTATTAATTTCATGTAATTTTTTTCCAATTGATATTAGAATATTGCTGCAAGGAGTCAGTGTGTTGTATCTGCAGATTCTCTGTGAAATTTCGTACACATTTTTCCATGGTTTTTACGAATCTGTATTATGTTCCAGCAACTGATCTGACTAGTGTTCCAACATTTCCTGAACCTCTAACTGAATATGAATTTGTACAATGGCCCCTTATTTTATTTTACATCAATATTTGATTTCATTGCTTTGTGTTTCATTTATACTTTTATTTCGGTCTGCAGTTGGATGTTATTTGTCTGTGGCTTATGTTACATTCTGTAAATTTGTGATAAATCACTTTAGCTAAATATAACATTATTTTTACCTTGTTTGCTAAGACCAAAGTCGGTAATTTTGGCGTAACCGTCCTTGTCTACAACGATATTCCGCAATTTAAGATCTCTACATTAAAATATAGAATAGGAGTTTTTATTATTTTTTACATATCACGAAAGGGTACTTGGATTACAGGGTTTTCTTATTTAGACTAAATAAAAGGTTAGATTTAAGAACTTATCTAATTTATGATAAAGTAAACATAATATTACTAATTAATTAAACCACAGACAATATTTTAATGGCAGTACAGTAAATACGACAGTTAACATTTCTGGGGCCAATATAACTGTATGTGCATCTTTAGTTTTTCATGTACACTTACCTGTGAGCAATCTTGTTCTGATGTAAAAATTCGAGGCCGAGCACACAACAGGCCGCATAAAACCTGTAGAAAATAGAATAAGTCTCTTTTATCTAGGAAATTACGGTTTTGTACCATTGGACAGTTTAATTCCATTATCCTCTGTCACTCTATGCTCAGACATATTTCATGCATTGTTTTGTGTCTGTCTAGGCTTCACTGAACTTGTAGTCCAACTTAACTTTTGTTTGGAGTTCTAGCTGGGTGATCATAATCCCCAAACTATACTTACATAGCTCTGCTTTCTGTAAAAGCTGCCATGTTGTTATTAAGAGTTGACATTAGGTCTCCACCAGCGGCATATTCCATCACAAAGCAGACAAGATCTTCAGTCTGGAAACTTGCATACAAATTCACAAGGAATGGGTGTCGTATGCGGCTTATGGTCTGAAAGATGTTCTTCTCATATTTAAGACTTGAAAATAAAAAGGGAATAATTAAATTAATCACTTTTGCCAACAACAAATAGGACTACCATCCAAAATATTTCCATTTTAAGTATTCTCCATCCACTGACCAGTCGATAGAATTAGATGCAATTATCTTTCGTTTTTTCTGGACTTTTAGTGCGAACGTGGTGTTTGTACGTTTGTGGTCAACAAGTAGAACCTGAACGTTAAAAAATATATATATATTTGTTAGATAACATTTGTTTAAAAACCTTTTATTTCTCACTAGATTTGGAATTTACCCGAAACCCACCTTTCCAAAGTGTCCTCTGCCCAGCACAGAGAGACATTGGAAATCCTTGAGGCTCAGTTGTACTTCTCGGTGAATGCTGCAAAGAAAAGAACATTTTTTTTCTCATATTTATAATTACTCATATAGCTCCCATCCTGATGAAAAAAAACAAGAGTGCTCCTATAACACACAGTATAATTTATCATACCATGGGTCCTGAAACTGTTCCAGATCTTGAAGGACACTGTTTTCCTGATTGGACACTCTGCCATCATGTAGAGGTGTATTACATGGCACTTGGTTTGAAGTGTAGTCCCTAGAATAGACTTGGCATGCTCCAGAATCCTGGAAAAGAAAGTTAGACATTATTAATAAAAACGTTCCATTAGTGCTTGTTGTAATAAAACAAGTAAGGATCCAATCTATGTACTAAACCCAGAGTTTAAATATGCCCATGATTTTATAGAAAACATTCTACACCGAGATTGCAATTATTCCATGTTCATTAATAATGAAATTTGTGCTACAGCTGAACAAATAAACAAAATAAGCAAGTTAGAAAACGTTATATCTTTACCTGAGACAGAATATCTGGGATTATAACATGAAGTCCTGGCTGATCGCTGCAAAAAGATGTATGGTGTGCAACAGGAGACTCTTCTGGCTCAGATTCAGTGTCTGATGATACTACAGGAGAAACACTTTAAGAAGGAAGAAAACAGTATTTATTTAGATGGCACCTTTTAGATCTGATATCATCATATCTTTATAGTCAGAGTGTCTTAGTGGAAAATTCTGCAACATCCAGTGCAATGTTAAAGGGATTCCCCTGGAATATCTATCACTAGGGTTGTAGATTGCCATGTTTTATAATACACAATGATTGTGTATTGTGTGAAATCAATTTATTAATTACAGATGGGATCACAAAGGACCAGCCGTGATTAAATACTGTATTTCACTCTGGTAACAGGGGAATTCCACATTCTGCTGGGAAGAACTTTCAAGTCCCGTCAGAGAAAATGCAATTCATAAACGTTCTATAAAAATAGTTTGCTATGGAAACATTACTTGTTACAAACAAACTGCAGACAATGTTAATGATAAGCATGCTGGAAAATGGGCGGACAAAAAGTTATAGTGCCTTAACCTCACCCATCTTACTCTCATACGCGAGTTTTTGTGTACATAAAGAAAAACTTTAATAAAAGACAAGCTTATTATATAAATAAAATGGAGTGATAGGTGGAAAAGGGGAGCAAATAAGGAGTTTATGGTAAATGTGTAGCCGTTTTAACAGTATTGATGCGAAAGATGAATATGTGAAAATACCTAATTGACCATGATGACTCTTGGCTCCCAGTGTTACACACTGGCAATGGAAGAAGGTCAATAGCTCCATCCTCTGACATCGATTGGCTGGCCTCTTGTGAATCAGTATTGTCAGTGGGTGGTGATGACTCCACGCTCTCAGTGTCAAATACTGGCAGTGGAAGACTGCCAGATATTATAGCCTCCTCAGATACTGAGTGGATAGTCTCCTCAGTATTGTTAGCGACAGCCAGCGGTGATGACTCCCCACTCTCAGTGTTAAACACTGGCAATGGAAGACTGCCAGATATTATATCCTCCTCAGATACTGAATGGATAGTTTCTTCAGTATCGGTATCGATAGCAGGCAGTGATGAAACCACGCTCTCCGTGTCCGATACTGGCAATGGAAGACTACTGAATACTATTTCCTCAGATGTTGATTGGATAATCTCTTCATTATTGGTATCGACAGCTGGCGGGGATGGAACCACGCTCTCAGTGTCCGATACTGGCAATGGAAGACTGCCAGATATTATATCCTCCTCAGATACTGAATGGATAGTTTCTTCAGTATCGGTATCGATAGCAGGCAGTGATGAAACCACGCTCTCCGTGTCCGATACTGGCAATGGAAGACTACTGAATACTATTTCCTCAGATGTTGATTGGATAATCTCTTCATTATTGGTATCGACAGCTGGCGGGGATGGAACCACGCTTTCAGTGTCTGATACTGGCAATGGAACACTTCCAGATATTATACCCTCCTCAGATGCTGATTGCATGGTCTGTTCAGTATTGTTAGCGACAGTACGCAGTGATTGAACCACGCTCTCAGTGTCCAATACTGTCAATGGAAGAACGTCAGATGTTATATCCTCCTCTGACGTGGACTTGATGGTTTCTTCTGCATCGGTATCGACAGCTGGCGGGGATGGAACCACGCTCTCAGTGTCTGATACTGGCAATGGAAGGATGTCAATAGATGTATCCTCCTCTGCAGTGGGCTGGAAGGTCTCTTCTATAAAAGTAACAGAGAACATAATATAAGTATTGTATATGATCAGTAGTAAATATATTAATTACGTTCATAGCAATCCAAAAACAAGAAAAAAAAGTAACAAAATCTCCAAACCTAGAACTTTGTTTCAGCCAAGATTTCCATATTATAATAACCATTACTCATAATTAATACATTGAAACAATGTTTAGTGTTTAAGAGGACTGGCATCCAATGAAAATAATGAGCTTCAGGTAGGTATAAGTAATGTAATCTGTGTATACTGCATATGGTATACGATGTACATCCTGCGTTATGGTTGTTATAGTGAATGAACATGTATCAGTCTATCTACCTGTAAGAAAATGAAATGTGAAATCCCTCACTGGTTACTGAGCGCATTCACATTGCTTGACAAGTTTTCTATCACACGGGGGCTGGTACTGGGGTACAAGGGATCACCTCTTGTCAGTAACCAAATAATAACCAATTCTGCCTCATAGATGCCTTTAAAGTCCCCTGGGCGGTTTGCTATTTAATGCGAGATGTTAAACGAACACTTACCTTGTTTTTTGGAGAAGAATTTCTGAATTGTCTGAAGTTTTGGCCTTTTCTGGATGGAAGCATTGGAAAATGTCACCTATTTCAAAACAAAAACCAAAAAAGTTAACAGCAGGAAGTAAATGATAATATCCTCATTGTGCCAAACCAACATATAAACAGACACACAAATGGAAAATAAACAGCTTCAAATCTCTTCCTCTACAGCTAATCACAATAAGCAAAGCCCCTCATTTACTTAAACAGTTTAGCATTTGATACAGTGTTCTTTATCTTAAAAAGAGAACATTTCTTAAGATACGATAAGCTGTTATGTAGGTAATATGATGTACATTGATAGGTTTATTCGCTAAACACTGACTTGTGTGAATTGAAAAAAAAGTTGAGCTAAGTCAAGATGTGACTATAGCGGACATATTTTGCAACTCCATTTACACTTCAGTACAATTTAATATTAAGTCAATAGACTTCATAGCGCTCTTATATTTTTCCATCTAGAGAAATATGTTGGATAAATTAATCGTCCTTTTGTTTTTTGTATAATTAAAACATTTAAATAGGTAAAAAACTATAAATTTATAGTGGCATGAGATTGATTCTCACCTTGATGAAAAGGGTGCCCTGTGGCTCCAGCTGTAGACACAGTTCCTGCTTCCGGTTCACCAGGAATTCTTCCAACTTCAGCGTCTTTATGGCACACAGTGATCTCCTATCGTGCCAATATAAGGATAATTCTAACTCCCGAGACTATGTACACATTAACAAAAAAAGGAAAGAAAAGTTATCGTCTATATCACTGATTCTATAAAAAAAAAAATCATAATTTCTAAATTAACATAAACAAACCCAATGTATAATAACTCTCTAAATCATAACTGGATGAAGACACATTAAGGTCCTAAAAGGTTTAGAAAAAGAGTTCCAGTTAAACTGACTTAGACAACTCTTTACAGGATAGGGATTAGTATAAATTCTTCCTGGGGCCACCAATGGATGTTGATTAAGAATGTAATATTCATACTTAAGTCACTTGAGTTAATATTTCTGAAAAAAATGTCTCTTTCTAGGGTGAATATACTTGAATTTAATGACATTCGTACCTTATTTAACTCCAGTTTAAATTTCTCATTCCAGGATTGTTTAGACACAGTTTTCCAACTGGTTGAACCCACTGGAATATGGTCAATCTTCAGCTGAGCACGGACCTCGTCTGTAAGGAAATTTCAGGAACTCAACTTAAAAGGCTAAGAGTATTTCATTATAAAGAACAATTCTTATTGAAGATGTAATCAACACACGGCCATTGTAACAATATAGCTGACAATATAAAGTTATTATCTTTAACCAAAGTTCTAGGAGTTTGATTTTATTTGGGGAGTCTATTCTCCTGCACTCCGTAAAAAAGAAATTAAACAAACAACAAATTTGTAGCTGGCCAGGTACTATGGTTGGAATATAAACAAGGAGATATATGTGAAATAAAATAATACAAGAACATCGTAACGAAAAACATGTTGAAAATTATATTTTTGTCCTCTGCCTTTTCTATTTGGTGAGTAATAGTAGAGGATGGAGTTTGTATGATGAGTAAGTCCCAGTTTAAATGTGGTAAAGTAATTATTATCATTTATATTTTCTGCAGCACTTTTACAAATTTTTAATTGGGGGTCGACCTGCAGCCCCCCAGTACCGAGATATAATTATTCAGGTTGATTTTCCTTTGAGTGGCTAAGTGGGAGAGCAGAGGTTCGATACCCCAGATATTGAGTTCTGTTATTGAGCGTCACTGGACACATAATGGGAATTATAAGATAAAAATCACTGTACTGGAAAAGCCAACAGTCTCTTGGATGTTCTGACTGCCGACACGGTTGTTTCTTCTGATTCGGCTCATTAATGAGAATCTTCCTTGACGTGTCCTCCTTCCTGAGAGAACAACTGGCGGGTCTTTTAGTCTGCCAGGTACATTCTCCAGAATATTGTGACAGCCCTTTACTCGCACTTTCAGGGTACCTGTCAAACAATCAGAATTTATATTGTTACAATGACTATTAGATTTTCACTTGTGTCATCACAGGAATATATTAACCTCTCACCAAATGTTCACTCAATACATTTCCTACAATAATCAAATATCAGATTCCCTTATGGATTCCACCACCCCTCTATCATCTCTGTAAACCGGCATATTTATAGAAAGAAATAGACCTTCAGCAACCATGAAATATACAATTTATGTTACAGGGAACTTCATGGCTGGTCTAAGTAGCACACACAGAATATTCAATAATAAGGCAGCTTTTACATCTTTATCGGATATAAATCAATCAAAACAGAATTTATAAACAGATAAAAACTCAGTAGCTTCACTTAGTCCCTGCTCAATCTTCAAAGAAGGTTTGTCACTTGTGCCATTAGAGAAGAAATCTATATTATTTGTAGATATTTTTAAACACACACAGGAGTAATTCAGAACAGAATGCAACAAGTCCACGCTATACAAGTTGAAACCACAAGGAACCCACTTCTGGATTAACCTTTAGACTTAAGAGGACACAAAGATTACGCCAAAAAAGTAAAACAGAATTCATGAGAATAATTTAGAAGATAAAAGAAAAGAAAAAGGAGGGGACTAGAATGAAGCCAGAAGTTGCAGAACCTCCTGATTTGGGGGTTAACCCCGATATAAATGTACACAAAGAGAAAAGATGGAGGATGCAACTAGGTGCAGATATGACTGAAATACAGTTCAGTGAAATATTCATTTGTTAAAACTTAACATTTAATAGATTGGCGAAAAAGTCCAATTGGTGGACTATGAAGAACAAAATAACCCACAAAAAATTTATAAAAATAGTGATATACAAAGAAAAAAACGACACACAAAGATAAATATAAATAAGTGTAATGGCTTAAAAAGCGCACTAGACTGGAACCTTAATGCTTTCTCGTAAAGATACGGGATCTGGAAAACATAGGTAGAAGGTGTCAGAGCTCTATATCTATGGTAACTATTTATACTAATATATTATATATTATATATTTAAATATGCTGATGACAGATTATGTGTGTGCTGGTTCCATATTGTTGTCATGTAAAAAAATGTCACCGGTCACCTTTAAATTTGTATTTACGTCATACAGAATTAAGTCTGCTGGAATAACTGCATGATCACAGTAGACAGACTTCACAGAGATGGAAGCATGCTCTGATACTTCAATGTTAAATATATTTGTCTTCTTTCCTTTATTGAAATATCTTTCAGAGGCAAAAGAACTTACCCGTTAGTGCTGTGGGCTTGGATATGTCAGAATTGAGGAACAATTCCTCGGTGGTAATACTCTTCCTGGGATGGCTATCAGGAAGTTCTTTCACTAGTTCCTCCATGGAATATTTAAGGAGGTCCAGCTTTTCATTTGCCTGGTTTAATATTGATTGAGCCTGTTAAAAAAAATGGAAAAAAAGAGTGTCGGCAATACTTGCATTGCATTTATAAATGTATAATTCTGTATAGTGCTCAATGTATAACAACTCAGGATTAATCACTAAAATCTGGAAAGTAGCAAATCAAAATCTGAACTGCAAATATTTTAACTAAAATTAGTGATTTGGAGAAATTCCAATCTCGGCTTTAGTAACAGTGTGTCTATGTTTATCTCAGTTTTGTAATTCAGATTTTAATTCCCTACAAGTCAGAGTTTATTGTAGCCCCTTGGAGCGGCCGCATTTTAGTAGAAAGGGGCTCTGACAGGGCTAGGAAGCAGGCATAGGTGGAGCAGTAACAAGATTGGTAGATTGGGTCTAAGGGGTGGGAGCATATATATATATATATATACAGGCAGCCATCTTAGGAATAGGCAATTTTAATGTACTCACCAACGTGTGAGTACGGTTTGTCACTCTGGTGTGTGCAGACTCTGTTTGGTGGGTTTTCCCTTTTTTCTTTTGAAGGATGGCGTCCCCAGAGGAGATGATCAACGGTGTTCGGGCAGGTGCACGGATCCGTGGAGAAGATTGGATCTGGGAGAGGCTCGGAGCGATGCTGGTGGCGTCGGCGGAGCCGGAAGTTCGGCTGGGGGACAGGCACACACGTGCACCTTAGCCCTGGTGGGGCCTCCATGTTGGTGCAAGCGGGCAATGTAGGGTGCGCAGCACCCTATCGCATGGCTGGAAGCCAGCGCTCTGGAGGGGGATCTCTTCCAAAGCCACCCGGTGTAGACAGCGGAACACGGGGGTGGCATGCTCGGAGGACAGTGGGCATGGTTGGAGGTGATGGAGTGGCTCCTTCTTCAACAGGAACTGCATCCGGGGTGCCGGCCCCTGCGGGCAGTGAGCCTTGAAGCAGCAGGACAGGTGGTGCCGCAATACGGGGTTGTGCACCCTGGCGGCGGACGGTGGAAGGTGGGAGCTGGGATTCCTGGTGGTCAGCAGAGCCAGCAAGTGCAGTTGGGGTGACAGCAGGCCCTTTAACTCCTGGGGATTCTGTTGCTGAGGTGCCTGAGGGGTTGGGTACCTTCCCTAATGTGCTGCAGGGGGACCCTCAGCTGGGGGGCCCCTTGGGAGGTGAGAGCAGACCCATGACAATGAAGCTGAGTGGGTCCAAGGCCCAGGGTGCAAATCTGGTGAGCGGCTTAGCGGGTCATGCAGGCGCATCTGGGGGGGGGGGGCACGGGGTTCCCAGAAGATAGCGGTGCATGTCTGGGCTCGGGAAAGAAATGTGGAAGCAGGCATCCGTGAGATGGGCACTGGGGCCCATGGTGGGGCAGAGGATCCATCAGCGATACGGCCTTCTGCTGGAAATTCACAGAGGGAAGGCAGTGGACCACAGGTCTGTCCAGGGGGAGGCGCGTTCCTGGTAGGCCAGGTGACATATCGCATAGCAATGAAAAGGCCCGGGGCCGCACTTTGAAACAGACTAGTAAGACTTGTGGCGCTGTGGGTAGCGAGCACGGGAAGGTCCAGGAATAGCAGGTCTACTAGTGCGGTGCTAGGAGGTGACAGCAGTGCGAGCAGCTCCTCCTCAGAATGCTCTGGGAGGTCAGAGGGGGTGCGTCAGAGCAGGCGGAGGGTATCCCACAGTCGGAGTTGCAGCCTCAGGGGTCGGGTCAGCGGGGCTTCCACTCTCTAGGTGATCAGAGGAGCCTAGGGAAGAGACGGGATGCTTGGAAGTCATGCAGGCAGCCCCGGGATTGCGGTGCGAAGGTTGTGGATGAACGGTGCACCCTGCCCAGGAATTTTTGTTCTCATTCTAGGTTACTGAGTGGATCATCTTCCAGGTGGTTTCCCCAGTTGTTCCGAAGAGCATGGTGGCATCATTTTCCGGTGGGATCCGAGGAGCAGCCATGGGGTCTTCACAGACATTGCTTGACAAGTTAAAGCAACTGATGCGGTTGTGAGTCTCGGGCCCGTTGCCGCTGGGCACGATGCCGGTGAGGCTAGAAGAGATGTTACCATGGTTAAGCTGTTACGGTAGCAAGGGGGATGTGTATTTGTTAAGGTACGGTTTCTTGGATAGGGATAGGGTGCTGTGTTCGGTTTTCTATGCATCATTTGACCAGGTAGTCGAGTTGGTTAGGACTGCCGGGCATCACGCCCGTATGGCAAAGGTGGATGTGGAAGCTGCATTTCGACTGCTGCCTGTTCATCCGGATTGTCATCACTTGCTGGGCTGCAGTTTTGATGGTCAGTTCTTCGTGGACCTATGTCTCCCGATGGGTTGTTCTATCTTGTGCTCCTACTTCGAGTTCAGCACTTTTTGGAGTGGGTGGTGCGGCAGGAAGTGGGGAGTCGAGCAATGGTCCATTATTTGGACGTCTTTTTGTGCATGGGTCCTGGGAACTCTTCATTGTGCCTGCATTTGTTGCATACCATTCAGTGGGTGGCCAGATTGTTTGGGGTCCCTTTGGCGGCGGATAAGACGAAAGGCCCCATGGACTGTATTTGCTTCCTGGGGCTGGAAATCTATTTGGCAAAGGGTGAATATCGGTTGCCTGGGGACAAGCTCGAGGGAAGTGCGTCAGGCCAAGAAGGTCATGCTTCGGGCATTGCAATCACTGCTTGGCAAGCTCAACTTTGCTTCCCGGGTAATTCCCACTGGGCGGGTTTTCAGTAGCGGCCTGGCTCAGGCTACGGCAGTAGTGAGGTCACTGCATCACTTTGTATGGGTGACGGCGGCCATGAAGGAGGATTTGGCGGTTTGGGACACATTTCTACAGGATTTTAATGGCCCTGTGTTGTTTCGTGAACTGGTGAAATTGGCGGCTGACTTGGAGTTTTTTATAGATGCCTCAGGGAGCATGGTCTTTAGTGCGTACTTCGGGGGTAGGTGGTGCACATCATCATGGCTGGCATCGTGGATGGGGAGACCACTCATGTGCAACTTGGCCTTTCTTGAACTCTTCCCATTAGTGGTAGCTCTATCACTCTGGGGGCCTCTGCTCAAGGACAAGAAGGCCATGTTTCACATGGACAATATGGCCGTGGTGTACGCAGTCAACAACCTGTCGGCATCCTAGCAGCTGGTGGTACGCCTTCTGCAGCGGATCATTTTTCTGTGTATGTCTCTCAATATTGTTTTTGGCACGCGGCACATTCCAGGTTATTTGAACAATGTGGCTTATGCACTTTCTCATTCACAGTAGTCCCGGGCCCGGGGGCACAGGAGGTCAGGGAATTGTAAGATGTAGTTGCTCGGGACAGCTTACTTGGGGCATTCGTGAGGTCGTCCTTGGCCCCGGGAATGTGGTCTGCTTATTGTAAGGTTTGGGGGTCGTGGGAGAGGTTGTTGAGCGAGAGTAAGGGGTCTGCTTTGGAGGGTTCACTATAGTTTACGTTCGATTTGCTGAGGAAGGGCTCATTGCCGGCGGTTGTGGACAGGCACATGGCGGCATTGGCGTTCTGGTTTAAGTTACATGGGTGGGATGACCCGACGATACACTTCCTTATTAGACAGGCGCTGAAGGGCCTCCGCAGGGGTTGGAGGGTGCAAGATGCACGTAGACCAGTGTCCGTTCGCCTTTTGGGAGGGCTGTTTAAGGTTTTGCCTGAGTTTTGCTTTAGCAACTACGAAGCACTTCTATTTGGGGTAGAGATTCACCTAGTGTTTTTCGGGGCATTTCGGGTTAGTGAGCTTGTCAGTGCCAATCGGGAAGGTGGGGGGGGGCATGCAATGGAGAGACGTTTCGGTAGTTGGGGATAAGGTGATCATTCATTTGGCCCATTTGAAAACGGATGTGTGTGGAAAGGATACGAATATAGAATTGCATGCTTTCCCGGGGTCCCTCTTCTGCCCAGTTGGCGGTGGAAAGATACTTGGGGAAGCGTCCGGCAGGGCGGGGTTCCTTTTTGATCTACATGGACGGGTAATCGCTGTTTAGGTTCCAGTTTTTCGAGGATTTTTGGTCTTGTCTAGGAGTCTTGGGGTTGTACCCGGAACAGTTTGGAACGCACTCGTTCCATATTGGAGTAGATACGGAGGTGACTCAGTTGGGGTTTGGTGAAGAATTGGTTAAGAGGATTGAGAGGTGGGAATCGGTGTGGTTTTGCTTCTACGTTTGCCTGGGTAAATTGGTGTGATGGGGCAAGGGGTGCTGGTTCTTGGGTGTGATGCTGACTTTGCATTTTTCTTTCCCTAAGTCATGTGGCATGGACCATTGGGCACTCATACATCTTCTGGGCTAAGAGGAGAGCTGCAGTTCGTTTTAATGGTCAGCAACTGGGCTTTCCTGAGTACCAGTTGGTGTTAAAATGGAGTGGTTACCGAGGGTTCGGATGGAGATTGGTGTGTGGAGAACTGTTTCGTTTGGTGCAGGGAGGTAGACGGCCTAATTTTATTGTCTTCCATACAGGGGGTAATGATTCCACAGAGGGACCTGGTTAGATGGATGAAGCAGGATATCAACGGGATTAAGGATGTGGTACCGGGCGTCATGGTCCTCTGGTCAGAGATTGTAACGCGACTTCGGTGGTGGCATGCGAGGAATGCAGCACGATTGATCATTGTCGATGTAAGGAGAACAGTTTAATGGCTAGCTTCATTCTGAAGCTTGAGGGGTTGTGGTCAGGCACAGGGAACTGGAGAATAGGTTGGCTGGGTATTTCCGGCAAGACAACATGCACCTTTCAGAGGTGGGTTGGGATTTGTTGAATCTGGGGTTTCAAGAGTAGCTTAGCCAGGCGCTGTTTTTGCAGGGTGGCGGAGCTCAGACATCTTAAGGGGTCAAGGGTCCGAGCTTGTGGCAGGGCTGGTAAAGGGAAGAAAATGGGGGGATAGGGATTTTGGAGTTAGAAAAGGAGCAAGGGGTAGGTAAAAAGGAATGGTGAAATGGAATTGGAGTTATAAGTTGGTTATGGTGTTGGGAGGTTTCAGGTCCGTAGGTGGCTCAGAACCTCGGAGGGGTGGGGGTATCCAGATATACCCTCACCACTGGGCTGTTAAGAAAATGTTGGCACTTTATTGGTTATGTGTTATATATTATTATATATTATTATATGTTATTTATGGTTAGTCATTGCCCTATTTATTATTAGATCTGCTAAATTATAAGACGGCAATAGGTGGCAGGCGATGACTTTTATTTATTATTGTATATTATGTTAAATAAAAGCTGTGGCCAATTTTCCCCATACACAGACATGTTGTGTTTTATTAAAGAGGGTGGGGATGGTTTGATAGGTACAGATTCACCTGCCCATATGCCGACACTGCACCTGTCATTAAAAAAAAACCTGTAAATAACTTAAATGCAGAATGTGTGTATGTATGTTTCTATAGATTAAAGTGGGTATAACGGCAGATCAATGCAGAACATACAACATGTTATTGGCTTTTAATAAAACTAAAAGGAATTAAACAATTGGGAGAATTTTTAAGGGACACTATAAGCACACACACCACTTTAGCTCATTGAAGAGGTCTGAGTGCAGGGTCCCTGTCCTCCTTAGTCATCTTAGTCCTGCAATGTAAATCATTGCAGCTTTTGAGAAACAGCAATGATTACATTACAGGACTAAGACTACTTCAATCAGACAGCCAGTAGAGACTTTTGGTTAAAGCGACGTTTGTAGTCTGATGCTGGACGGCCTCACGCTCTGCACTGAAGCAATGGAGGGCCTAATTCACTTGCGGCGCTCGCCATGCATGCGCAATAGCCACCCCTCCAGATATCGGGTAAGTATTAACAGGGATTTTGTAACGCGGGAAGGAGAAAGGGCGTGAGGAAGGAGGCGGCCAGTGGGAACTAGAGTGTATGAAATACAACTTTATTTGCCTTACACTATAGATTCGCTTTAAATAAAGCATTATAGAGACAGAATAAAATACAGAACAAATGGTCCCACAAAGACTTCAAACAACAAAAGTCTCAGAAAAGATAATATAAATGTGTAACTTGTATATTATTTATCAAGCGGAATTTGTTGGCGCTTTATAAATAATAATATTAATAATAAACCATGGCTACTTGGCTAATGCCAACAAAGCCCCAGACAGACATTGAAAGCCCATTCTTCATTCTGGGGATGAAATGGTTAAACGAATACGCTTTATAACTGACCTGAACAAGTGGCTTTCCATGATCTAATGCCTTGATGGCACGTTTGGCTCCTTCAGCCACGGCACGCTCGATCACTAATCGGTGGCTCAACTCCTCAATGCGTTTCTCCAATGTGCTGATAGCAGGTGTTGCTAGGAGACAAATGAATAAATTTTATTATATTAATGGTAAAAAGGAAATTGACACGGTAGCTTCAGGTGTCACAGGTCATTTCTATAAGGTTTCTCTGTATATTTCTTTATGTATCAGGCACTGTTTCATACACAAACTATTTAAAGGGACAGGTTAGACACCCATTGTGGAATAACTCATCTCATAAGGTTTCAGTCAAACATTATTGAAAAATATTGTAAGAAATAACATATGAATCATAGATGCTTTCCCTCTGTATCTTACCTTTTCCTGTTTTTTTCAAGTGTTGAGTGGTCCTTTAATGATGTGTAATCTGGTAACTTTAATGGGATATGTGATATGGATATGATATATGGTTACACATTTACAGATGTACTTTAATGTGTTAGTGGTATCCACATCAGTCCATCCTTGCAAGCACGCTGTCTTGGTGTCATACTTGATTCTGGTCTCGCCTTTGAACCTCACATATAGTGTGTTGCCAAATCCAGTAGATTCCATCTTACAAACATAGCCCGCATCCGCCCCTTTCTTATGTAAGATGCTACCAAGGAGCTTGTCCAGCCTCTAGTAATTTTACGCATGGATTATTGTAACCCTCTCCTGGTCTACCTTACATACCTATCTCCTGCTCTCTCCTATAGGGCAGCACTCTACTCTCTGCTTCACTCTCACCTTATTTGATTGCTATTTCCTGTCCTAATGTGTTTTATACAAAAAATACAACGTGTGCTGGCACTCAATTACATCTAGGTGCAGGTATTCGAGGTTAACCCCAAAGACAACCTCCTAATCACAATCATAAAAAAATTATTATGAATACCGCACTCTATATAGTAATAAATATATATAATACTTGTTGTTATTGCTGAGACAAATTCATAATGTTTATTCTAGATAAATTCATATAAAGTATAGTTCTTGTATATAATTGGTGTACTCAGGATGAAATGAACATTACTACCATTATACTTTATATGAATTTATCTAGAATAAACATTATGAATTTATCTCAGCAATAACAACAAGTATTATATATATTTATTACTATATAGAGTGCGGTATTCATAATAATTTTTTTTATAATGTGTTTTATACCCCACCTCCTATAGACTGTAAGCTTGTTTGAGCAGGGTCCTCTTTAACCTATCGTTCCTGTAAGTTTAGCTTCTTTTTAAATTGTCCTCTTTATGGTTAAATCCCCCCCTCTCATAATATTGTAAAGTGCTACGGAATCTGTGTTTTATTGTACCTGGATGTTCCCCTGCTCCTTGCTCGATAATATCGTTAACTTGCGTTTCGCTGACCTGAAAAGGCAGAAATAAAAAGAATTAGAAACCCGCAGGCTCTTTGCCAGAAGAAAAGGCTCACAACGTGTTCGTGTCTCAGTGTGTGCTGTCCCTACTAACACCTTGCACCAAGTTACTATGTGCTGGATTGTATGGGAGGACTCTGGGGTCGGCACCTTGGGTCCTGTCTGCTATGGTTGACCCGCTTCTATTGATCTGGTGCTGAGTGTCTGTTCCTGTGTCTCAGTGCTGTCTTTCATTCCTGATATATTTATTATATACATATACAGGATATATATGTGTGTAAACCTCCTAATAACAATACTCTATAATACTTCCACATGACATACCAGTAACTGAAATGAATAAAGGGCAAGGAGTTCATACCACGAAAACTGATACAGTAACCATATGCTGTCACTGTGCTTGGGACATTAAATACTGAGTCATGAAAGGGTTACATATTGAGTAAAGAATAAAATGACAGATCTGTGTGTAACCCCCCAGTGTTCCCCATTAATAATCATATAAAGGGTCCCATCTGTATTCTCTTTCTACCCCATCCTAGACTACACTGGGGATTTAACATGATAAAACTCTCAGATAATAATATGTAGAACTGGAACCTTATACAGAAAATCAAGTCTTTTACTTACATCACAGCGTACGCATGAAAAACACGAGAAAATAGTTCTACTATCTCCCATCTTTAGCTACGTTATCACCACAGCAGCTAAGCAGTGTCAACTGTCTAAGCAGTGTCTACTGACTGAACTGTGCTCAGCAAGGATGATGTCACAGTGATGTCACAGGGAACAATCAGACTATCTATAGCTATCTCTGCCTTGCAATATCTACTGACTGAACTATGCTCAGCAAGGATGATGTCACGGTGATGTCACAGGGAACAATCACACTATCTATAGCTATCTCTGCCTTGCAATATCTACTGACTGAACTGTGCTCAGCAAGGATGATGTCACAGGGAACAATCAGACTATCTATAGCTATCTCTGCCTTGCAATGTCTACTGACTGAACTGTGCTCAGCAAGGATGATGTCACAGGGAACAATCAGACTATCTATAGCTATCTCTGCCTTGCAATGTCTACTGACTGAACTGTGCTCAGCAAGGATGATGTCACAGTGATGTCACAAGCAACAATCAGAATTTGATCCATCACAGGTCCACCTATCATAATAAAAACTAAATCCATCTATTTATCTATCTCTATCTATCTATATACACACACACATATATAGTTAGAGAGAGAGAAAGATATTTATTTAATAACATTATTATTATTATTATTATTATTATTATTATTATTTAAATCTGTCTGCTTACCTACTATTCTAATTATTCAAATGAAAGTGAAAAAGTGAAAATTGATCCAAATGAAGATGTTTTATTGTTTATTTTTTCATCTAGAAAAAGGCTATTAGTACAGATTTTAACAGGAACCGGATAGAAAAATATATTTTTTTAACATTACAAATAATAGAGAATTAGTTATTGCAGTTATAAGCCAGGAATAACCTTATGTTTTTATTTTAATAAACTAAGTTATAAAATAAGGAATGATCCCTTAATTAAGATAATTTCCCCATTAAACCCCAAATGTGTGTAAGATAAAAAATGTAAAAACAAATTTAGTAAAATGCTATAGAAGGGACCAATCCAATGAATATTTGTAAGTGTAGAAATGGAAGAGACATTGTTGTGGTTGCGTGTGGTGTACTATGTGTGTAAGCATGTGAATAGGGGCTGTACATGGATAGAACCATACTAATCCTTTAGATTGGGCTATCGATGTTCTTTGAATAAAAGAGCTTTAATGGCTAGATCTCAGCTCAGGTACAGGGCCCTCTTTACCGTTTGCATTGCTCTGTGTATGTTGTACAGCGCTGGGGAATATGTCGGCGCCTTGTAAATGGCAGTAATAATTAATCATATATTACGTACATACTTTCTGTATATGTGATGTCCTATTTACTTTAGGATTAATATTTCCAAAATTTGTTGTTTTATTATTATTATTATTATGTTATTATTTATATAGCGCCAACAAATTCTGCAGCGCTTTACAATGGGTGGATGAACAGACATGTAGTTGTAACCAGACAAGTTGGACAGACAGGAACAGAGGGGTTGAGGGCCCTGCCAAATGAGCTTACATGCTAGAGGGAGTGCGGTAATGTAAGGGCCTAGATGGGACGTACTTGTGTATAAGGGAGGATAGATAGGTGGGAGCAGCATTATGTAGAGATTCGAAAGCAAGAACCAGAATTTTAAATTGAGCTCTATATTTTATAGGAAGCCAATGTAGGGACTGACAGAAGGGTGAGGCATGGGAGGTGCGGGCAGACAGGAAGATGAGCCTCGCCGCTGCATTCATTATGGACTGTAACGGCGTAAGTTGGGAGCACTTAAGACCACTGAGAAGCGGATTACAGTAGTCAAGGCGAGAAAGGACAGTGGAATGGACCAACACCTTAGTCGCATCTGGCGTTAAGTAGGGTCGGATGTGCGCAATGTTTTTGAGATGGAAACGACAGGATTTGGCGATAGATTGAACATGAGGTGTTAAGGAGAGGTTGGAGTCAAAGAGAACACCTAGGCAGCGAGCCTGCGTGGTGGAGCGGATGGTAGCACCATTGACTTGGAGGGAGACAGACACAGGAGTAGCAACACTTGAGGGAGGAAAGAATAGAATTTCAGTTTTGGTCAAGTTGAGTTTAAGGAAGTGGGCAGCCATCCAGTTAGAAACAGCAGAGAGGCAGTCAGAGACACTAGTCAAGAGGGACGGGGAGAGATCAGGAGAAGACAGGTAGATTTGCTTGTTATCCGCATAGAAATGATATTAGAAGCCAAAGGAGCTTACCAAGGGAGGCAGTATAGATAGAGAACAGTAGGGGACCAAAGACTGAACCTTGGGGGACACCAACAGAGAGGAGTTGGGGAGAAGCAGAGCAAGAGAAAGAAACACTGAAAGAGTGATGGGAGAGGTAGGAGGAGCACCAGGAGAGAGCAATACCTTGTAGACCGATATTGCGTAGGATGAGAAGAAGCTGTTGATGAACAACAGTGTCAAAATCCGCAGACAGGTCAAGGAGAATTAGGATAGAGTAGTGACCACGAGATTTTGCAGCGAGTAGATCATTGAATACATTGGTCAGTGCCGTTTCCACAGAGAGTTTAGTGCAGAAAACAGATTGAAGCGGGTATAGCAAAGAGTTAGACTCGAGGAAGTCTGTCAATCTCGCATACACAACTTTTTAAAGGATCTTGGATGCAAAAGGCAGTAGTGAGATAGGACGATAGTTAGATGGGGAGTTAGGGTCAAGGTTGGGCTTCTTTAGAATTGGGGTTATAGTTGCATGTTTGAAGGGCGATGGAAATATGCCAGAGGAGAGAGAGAGATTGACTTATTTCTTGCAGGACAAATAATAACTTTTGATGAACTTAAGATGACATTACACTTTTTGAAACAAAGATTTTTTAGACTACTTAAAAGTTAAATCCTATATAAAAAAAAGTTAAAGCTCCCTTGTGAACATGAGAACTTTATTAACCTTATTTTGTTAACTTTATTAACCTTAAGGACACTAAGAAATTACTTCTAAAACAAGTCTTCTACTATATAACATGGGAAATGGAACACAGATTTAAAGATACAAATTCTTTGTGGAGAATGGTGCAACTCCATCTTGATGCTTAATAAATATACACACTGCCTGAATTTGAATGAGTTACACTATAAGATTATAAACAGATGGTATTAAATCCCAAAAAGGCTAAATAAGATATTTCCTACACAATCCCCTAAATGTTGGAGATGTGGGACTAAAGAGGCAGATTTCTTACATATATGGTAGGAATGTCCAACCATTAAAGAATTATGGCAAGGTGTGGGAGAAAGTAAATAAAAATCTTAAAGAAATCAATACCTCTAAAACCAGATCTGATGCTCCTACATATCAACATCCCGAATCTAAAAAGAAAAAGATATGATTTTGATACTCCATGTGCTGACAACTATTAAGATAAGTATAGCTAGAAACTGGAAAAGCTTGTTTATACCTGATCAGACATCAAATAAACCACAAAATAAAGATGTAAAAGTTTATCCTGACAAGCTATAATATAAAAACTAAGATACAGTGGTTTTTGGGATGAAATAAACTTAATAAATTCGGTATAACATAAAAATATATAAATTTAGGGGAAGTCTAAAACAATAGATTCTGCCTACCCTCCCCCTCCTCCCGATGCCTTAGGATCAAGAGACAATAATGTGATGTCTTTATTTTTGTCTGTGTCCAGCGGTTTGGTGTCCTGTGAATAAGACTTAGGTAGATTAAGGAAACGTTGGATAACAGCAACTCTTTTTTAATGCAGAATAAAATGGCATTAGATATTAATAGAGTTGCTGTTTTTTAATAGCATGTGTATAAATAAATTTTCTTGTGTGTATTTGTTTTTAATATTTGAGAAAAATATTGTGAAATAAAAATTATATTTAAAAAAAATTTGATTGCCAAAGAGAATAAAAAAGTCACAAATTAGAATAATCATTAGCAATGTGAATGTCAATACACCTTCGTCATAGTGTCACTTAGTTTAAGTTTTCGAGCATGTGAGCATGTGATCTTTTCCCATTTTAGTTTGTTGGATGGAAAGTTTCAGTTAATGGACCTGTGAAGGACTCTTTGATTTTGGATAAAGTATGCTTAAATGACGTGCTGTTGAGTTAATTACAAAAAACAAATCTTTTCAGATTTAGTTAGGCACAGGTGGGGATTGAACCCATGATCTTTGGTTTATGAGGCCAACGCCTTACCACTTGGCCACTGTGCAAGAGCACTGGGAGAGTGTTAAGACACCTCCAGTGTCTTTACGCAAAACCTCCGTTTAGTAGACATTCCCCGTCTGCAGTAACAGTCTCCGTTCGCTTAATCTGTAGTATACGAACCAAATGCAGGGGAAGCGGCAATCTCCCGACCGAGATCCGTGAACGGCTCCAAACTCCCGAACGGCAATACACGAACTGCTGCTAGCCGCCGAACAACAATATTCACCAAGCGGCTTCCGTTCCATCCAGCAGTCTCTAAACGTGAAGAAGAAATCCCCCCAATAACGAGACAGAAGCTCCGCACTGAGGGTCAAACAGGATCTGGCTTTACTGTGGGCTACCTGCCCGTATTTATGCAGGTCTCCCACTTGGTGGACACTCCCCTAGGGGACCAAATGGGAGACTTAAATGACAGACAGATATGGGGACATTCCAGACACACAGCCACAGATTTTACCCACAGTGCATTATGATTCCCTCCCCTCTGTCCTGGAGTTAATTACCAAGTAACTCAATTAACTCCAGGACAAAGCCAGTCGCCATCTTAAATATAAAATCATAAAAGACATAAAAATATATAACTTCACAAAAACCGAACATTTCCCATTCGTATCACATATCCCCAGATAGCCTGGATCTGAGTGCATATTATTAGCGAATAGCGCTCAGATCCCACACACATAGTTCAATCGCCATGGAGTCAAAGTTCTTACAGTCTTTCGGTATACGAATGACTCCATGGGAAGGCTATCTGGGTTAAGTCTTTTCGTATGCTCCAAATCTCCCGAACGGCCGGTGTTCGTATGGTTTCATGGAGGCAGCCAGGCGCTCCGTTGTTTCAGCGGTGTTCGGCAGAAAAAGTGTCCGTTTTTAGTTCCATAGAAATAGAGACAAACACCGCTGGGCTTTCGCTTGGTTTAAAATGGCCGCTGCCTCGTGGTCAACATATGAACGACGACCACCCTGAATTTGGTTTAATTGAGAAGTGTCTGCGGTTAACCACAACGTTCTAATTGGGATCAATAGGTTAACCAGCAGCACACTTCTCTCCTGGGTGGCCGTCCGTTCGGCAGGTTTGTTCGGGAAAAAGAGTCATTCGAATGGCTGGGCTATAGAAACCAGCCATTCATACGAACGGGAGACAAACAGACGAATGCAATTAAAATACAAGCAGACAGATGGTTCTGTCACAGAGAGGTAGGAGGAGGGTTAGGAGTAGGAGTAGGAGTAGGGTTAGGGTTGGATGAGAGCAGGGTTAGGTTAGCATAGGGTTAGGGGAAGGGTTAGGAGTAGAGTTAGGGTACAGCTAAACATAACCCTAAACCTATCCTAACCCTACCCATAACCCTACTCTCATTCAACCCTAATTCTAACTTTAATCCTAACCCAACCCTAACCCTACTCCTACCCTTACCCTACCCCTAACCTAACATTACCTCTAACACTACCCCTAACCCTACCCACTAACCTAACCCTACACTTACCCAAAGTCCTGAAGTTCCGAAATGCCGAGGTGCCGAGGTGCCGAGGTGCCGAAGTCCCGAATTTGGGAATGCTGAACCGAACCGATGGTTTTATTTTATCTATCCTAGGTATTACAATGATACTTGAGGCACATAACCCATCACACTTAGCCGTTCCCATGCTGTAGTGTATATTTCACCTGTTTTTACATTCTCTCACTAGGTTTTTAGCACTCTGTTCACACACACACATCCTCTCTGCCCGCTTGTTTGCCCTTTACCCCGATATGCTTAATTTTTGTTTCCTCCGTGTATGGGTTTCGATTGTTAGACTTTATGCATTCTATTCACTAGTTTCTCCTTACCTAGCAACCACACCTGCTGGGAAGCATGGTGGTTTCCCTACAACAACGTTCACTAACAAACACTTCCTGGTGACACAGGGAGCCCGACACCTCTGGGTGGTTCAGTCTGCAGGCTGTCTTCTCACTTAATTGGCAAGTTAATTTTGATATTGGCTATATATTTGTGTGGATCTTGATAAAGACCTGAATGGGTTGAAGCGTCTTTTGTTTGTTTGTTTGTTTGTTTTTTTTGAACAGTTGACATTGTTTTGATTTAAAAAATGTTAAATACAGATTTTCAGATTTGAAGACCTTGAAAATATCAGTGTTCCTGACACTGCAGGTTCCTGCAGTGCCCCTTCCCCTCCCCATTCTATGTTGCTGAAGGGCTTAAAACCCTTTCAGTGACTTACCTGAATCCAGCGCCGATGTCCCTCAGTGCTGGGTCAGGTTTCGCAATAGCCGCGCGCATTAGACCCTCCCCCAATAGGAAAGCATTATTCAATGCTTTCCTATGGGGATTCCGGTGACGCTGGAGGTCCTTATGCATTGCGTCAGGACGTCCAGCGTCGTTCAAAACACTATTCGTGTTTTAAGAAGCTGGAAGTCCCTGTAGTGGCTGTCTGGTAGACAGCCACTAGGGGAGGATTTAACCCTGCAAGGTAATTATTGTAGTTTATAAAAACTGCAATAATTACACTTGCAGGGTTAAGGGCTACTTTAAACCATTTTCTACATTTCAACTAGTTAGCAGTTAAAATAGTGGATAAAATGTTCCCTTATCTTAAACAAAATAAATCAGTTCTTAATCTATTGTTGTATCCTATCTCAATTTTGGATGTATTTGTGAGTTGAAAAATGCGTTCGGCTACAATCAGACTTACCGGAATCTGCAGCTTTGACTTCCTAAGTTACCGCCGACTTTTGATTGGTCTGCATGCCACATGTAATGTCCTTATGGGGGATATGGGCTTTCCATGGCCAGTGAATATATTCCACAATGTGTGATACAGAACATCTGTCAGTAGCATCAATGGCCAACATTAGTCTGAAGAAATGCTGGGATTCTGTGGTAACCAACCTCCACTCGGCTGGTATTGGCACAGTGTCTTTAAATACCTGCCAGTGGACAAACTGCAAATATTGTTGGTCCCTTGGTAAAGCCTCATCCCATGGGAAACAGACAGTGAGCATCACATACACCAGGACTCCAAATGCCCACACATCAAGGCTAGGGTGCAATAATAACTGCTCACTGTCTCCAACAATGCAGAGTTCAGGAGCCATGTAGGGAATGATCCAGGACATTCCTGGTACATAGGTTCCCTGGAGTCGGGTGAGTCCAAAGTCTGCAAGTTTGATGCAATGGCATTCATGGTCCATGAGCAGAATATTATTCAGCTTGATGTCCCGATGGACCAGTCCCTTGTAGTGCATGAACTCCAAAGCACTCGTCAGCTGAAGAATGCAGCGCTTCACAATGTCCTCTTGTATACCAACCTGTAAAGGTGAGAAGAGAATGATAACTGAATCCGTCAGACATAAAAGATATTAATTTATATTTACAATAACAATGGATTGGGGACGTGGGGGGGATGCTGGTATAATGTTTATTTACGTGGGAATTACACTGGATTATTTAGACCATATTAAAGAAATGTTATGAATTTAGAAAAAAAACAAAACTACATGCATGACAATTTTTGTAAACCTCACCTTTGTTACGATGGAATGTAGTGTCCCAGCTGGTACAACCTCCTGAACAAACACATAGCTGCTTGGTGTTTCGAAGGCCATTCTAAAGGTGGTAATGATATGGGGATGAATCCCAAGGTAGACGCAGGTACTATTTTCCAAGAGGAAATTATCTGCTAAAGTCTTCTCCTTCACCAGCATTTTCAAGGCCACCAGCTGTCCTGCTAACAAAACAAAATATACTGTGATCTCCAGCTACTCAGGTTTATACAGCTAATAGTTTTAGAAAACCATGGCTTTCAGTTTATGGACTGTAGCAATTTCTTGAGGTGCCAAAAAGCATCTGCATTGTAATTTACCCTGCTAAATGCAGAAATCCATTAGAACTAACCCTGTATAAAATAAAGGACTCCAGTTTTTTAAAAGTTTTTTTACAAGCTAATGTAACTTACCTGAACGCCTGTGATTGGCGAGGAGGACCTTCCCATAAGAATCTTTGCCCAGTTCTTTAATTGAGTCAAAGTGATCCATTACAGACATCCTCGTCATGGTCTGAGATGTCTCTCCCACCAGCTGCAGAAGATCCTTTGCTGTCTCCATAGTGACATCCAGGATTGTAGCAGCCATTCTAAAACAAAAGAAAGTGATCGGTGTAAATTATATCATTAAACATTTAGTATAAATGTATTGCTGCCTCATTTAGCCTACAGGTCTTAGCATTGGCTGAAGGTGCTCTAAAGATGCAGTTAATGTAAGAGTGAGCAGTCTGTGCCTTCTTTGAGGACACAAACCATGATTATCAGACTGGAGCAATTTAAATGGAGTCCAAGAAAAATGGAATTATTTAAAAGTTGCACTATTGAAGGCAACAGAAAATTGCATTAGGCTTGTCAGTAAAAGCAAAAAATTAAAGAAACCACTGTGGTACTCCGCAGATGTGGCCAAAATAGTTAAAAACAAAAAGTTAGCATTTAGGAATTATAAAAAAAAACCAGAGTGAGGGAGACAAAATGATCTATAAGATTAGGCAGAAAGAGGCTAAGAAAGTTATAAGAGCTTCCAAATCACACACAGAAGAGAAAATAGCACAGTCAGTAAAAAAGGGGGATAAAACATTTTTTAGATACATAAATGAGAAAAGAAAAGTAAAACAAGGATTAGTTAGATTAAAAACAAAAGAAGGAAGGTATGTAGAAGAAGATAAAGGTCTAGCTGACTGCCTCAATGAATATTTTTGTTCTGTATTTACAGATGAAAATGAAGGAAAAGGACCTCAGTTGAGAAAAAAGGATAAATGAGTCATTTATTACACGTGAGTTTACAGAGGAAGAGGTTCTATTTCAACTGTCAAAAGTAAAGACAAATAAGTCAATGGGACCTGATGGAATACACCCAAAAGCTATTAAAAGAGCTTAGTGGTGTACTAGCAAAACCATTAACAGATTTATTTAACCAATCATTGTTAACAGGAGTAGTCCCAGAAGATTGGAAGTTAGCGAATGTTGTGCCCATTTACAAGAAAGGTAATAGGGAGGAGTCGGGCAACTATAGGCCAGTAAGCCTTACTTCAGTAGTAGGGAAAGTGATGGAAACCATGTTAAAGGATAGGATTGATGAACATCTAAAACACATGGATTTCAAGATCAGAGACAACATGGGTTTACTTCAGGGAGATCATGCCAAACTAATCTTATTGATTTTTTGATTGGGTAACTAAAATTATAGATCAGGGTGGTGCAGTAGACATTGCTTACCTAGATTTCAGTAAGGCTTTTGACACTGTTGCACATAGAAGGCTTATCAATAAACTGCAATCTTTAAGTTTGGATTCCAATATTGTTGAATGGGTAAGGCAGTGGCTGAGTGACAGGCAACAGAGGGTTGTAGTTAATGGAATATATTCGAAGCTTGGACTTGTCACCAGTGGGGTACCTCAGGGATCTGTACTTGGACCCATTCTCTTTAATATTTTTATTAGTGATATTGCAGAAGGTCTTGATGGTAAGGTATGTCTTTTTGCTGATGATACTAAGATATGTAACAGGGTTGATGTTCCAGGAGGGATAAGCCAAATGACAAATGATTTAGGTAAACTAGAAAAATGGTCAGAATTGTGGCAACTGACATTTAATGTGGATAAGTGCAAGATAATGCATCTTGGATGTAAAACCCAAGGGCAGAGTACAGAATATTTGATAGAGTCCTAACCTCAACATATGAGGAAAGGGATTTAGGGGTGATTATTTCTGATGACTTAAAGGTAGGCAGACAATGTAATAGAGCAGCAGGAAATGCTAGCAGAATGCTTGGTTGTATAGGGAGAGGTATTAGCAGTAGAAAGAGGGAAGTGCTCATGCCATTATACAGAACACTGGTGAGACCTCACTTGGAGCATTGTACACAGTACTGGAGACCGTATCTTCAGAAGGATATTGATACCTTAGAGAGGGTTCAGAGAAGGGCTACTAAACTGGTTCATGGATTGCGGGATAAAACTTACCAGGAAAGGTTAAAGGATCTTAACATGTATAGCTTGGAGGAAAGACGAGACAGGGGGGATATGATAGAAACATTTAAATATATAAAGGGAATCAACACAGTAAAGGAGGAGACTATATTTAAAAGAAGAAAAACTACCACAACAAGAGGACATAGTCTTAAATTAGAGGGACAAAGGTTTAAAAATAATATCAGGAAGTATTACTTTACTGAGAGGGTAGTGGATGCATGGAATAGCCTTCCAGCTGAAGTGGTAGAGGTTAACACAGTAAAGGAGTTTAAGCATGCGTGGGATAGGCATAAGGCTATCCTAACTATAAGATAAGGCTAGGGACTAATGAAAGTATTTAGAAAATTGGGCAGACTAGATGGGCCGAATGGTTCTTATCTGCCGTCACATTCTATGTTTCTATGTTCTATGTACTGTTCTGATAGAATAAAGGTTGTATGCAATTAGCTGTGCAGAAGGGTTGAGGAGACATGAGTTTATTGTCCTTACATTATTAGAAGATCAAATGGTAAATGTACAAACTAAAAAACATATGCACTAGGGGGTCGGAGCCAACCATGCAAGTGAATGGACGCACATTGAAACAGCTCCGTCTGACTAAGGGGGAAATCCGCCTCCATCGAGCTGCAAAAACAAAATGGGACACCTCAAAAGGTCAACATCCAGCCAGCAAACAACCTCCAAACACCCGATAGGGAAATCTGGAGCGCTAACAAAAATATTTGGGGACCACACCGACCATCAGACGAGAGTGCTAGGACCCAACATGGCGACGGAATCCTCACAAGATAGTTTTGCCCCATCCAGCCCAGAAGGCTCTGGGGGATCAGTATGCCCAAACAAACAACAACCTCAAAGAGGTAATTAGAAACCTACCTTCCAAAGCCTATATAGCCTCCATGTTGGGAAAACTGGAAGTTTCTTTCCAGGCCCAAATGGCATCACTGGGGACCGACATTCGTCAAATAGGCGAAAAAGTACAAGTCCTGGAAGATGACAGGGATGTCCTAAACTCACAAATAATAAGCCTCCAAGAAACCGCCGCATCACACAACGCACACTTAACGGTGATATACCGACAGTTGGATGACGTCGATAACCGAGGGCGCAGGAACAATCTGTGAATTAAAGGACTCCCAGAACAAGATCAGGAAGACCTTACAACTACACTAACTGACATGTTCAATCGAATATTGGGCAGACCAGAGGACACCCCCCTAATACTAGACAGAGCTCACAGGGCCGGAAACCAAAGGGATCCCAAAGAGACCAACCAAGAGATGTGGTATGTAGAATTCATTATTACTCCCTTAAAGAAGAAATTCTCTGCGCCCTAATACAAACCTCCCAACCTATACTATACCACAATGACCCTATACAAATATTCCCAGACCTCTCTTGGCAAATGCTCCAGGCACAACGTACACTAAGACCAATTACAGAAACACTTCGGACCCGAAACATACGCTATAGATGGGGCTTCCCCCTTCCATTAATTGCCACTCATAACGGTAGAACTCATACTCTCATATCACCCCTGAATGTAAGTATATTCACACAGGCCTTAGACCTACCAGATATTCAAATCCCTGATTGGTACGGTATCAACCAGCAGACAACATTCCATCTTCCCCAACAACAACAACGGCAACAATGGCAAACACCAGCCAGGAAAAAAAGAAACGAACCCGCAGAATCACCACAAAATCCAAATATGCCAAAAGGTGTACCCAACAGATAAGGACACAGCCCCAAAAAGAAACCAGTTCCAGATACCCCAAAACCTACTCTACCTAATTTATGGACTTACCACTATCTGCATATCTTCGACCCGGACAATAAAAGGACTTTGACTCCCACAACTACAATCCTCCACAAGGAAAACACCGACGGATAACCAACTCTCAAACAGGACTACCTATGATACCTAAACTACTCTTCGGATTTCCTTCTCACCTACCTAAAATTCAAGACGTGCCTCATAGACTGTGAAATACAAAACGGACCACTAACAACGTCCCACTGCCATTCCTGCTTACATCCGCATCTACTACATAAAGGGTCACGTAAGACTTTATAAGTGCAACTGTGATCGACTTGAATATCTTGTTTAATGCCATGCCTCACTATCAATTGTAATACATTGTCTCAAGGCTATATACAACTTTGCTCCCTATGTATTAACTCCCCACTATAAAATATAATTTTAAAATAAATAAATAAATAAATAAAAGAAAGGAAAAAACCCTCCCTCCCACCCCCTCTTTCCAAACGACAGAGAAGATCCAATATGTGCAAAGCCTCAGGGAATAGGAAAGATATTAATCAATATTGGGAAAACATCTTTAGAAATACTCAGATGCCTCAGGGGTTAGACTACATATATATATATATATGTATATATATATTTGTGTGTGATTTTTCTCCTGACTATAATCTATAGTCTCAAGGCTAAGACTGAGTAAGTTACTCATGCAGTATATCACCCACCCCCACCTCCCTACTCCCCACCACCCTACTCCCCCCCCCCACCACCTCTCTCCCTACAACCCAGGAAAAACCCATGAGAACTACTCAACATGTGTAAAGCTTTAGGTAATGGGACAACTGAAAGATTCACAATTATTCTAATCATTACTATTCATTTGTCTTAGAAATATATGTATATGTATGTATATGTATGTATAAGAACCTTACTCCAAACTGTACACTACTGTTAAAAGGCTTTGCAAGACTACGTTCTATGACACCCTTACATAAGTCCCCCCCCACCCCACCACCGCCCTCTGACAGACTCTTTAACGATGCTCGCCTGTTCTTTATACTGAGGCATCTGACCATATTCATCTTTATAAATTATAGGGCAGATTCTTAGAGTCCCTCTTTCTTGACCCCTACCTCTTACCCAATCCACTACACACAGAGACACGTGGGAACCCAAAAATGTAGATTATTTATATTGGACACATCTTATAATGACATGTATTACTTTAGACTACACTCTACTAGTATGGGGCAACGTAAGAATACGTTCCATGCCTAAAAATCCCCATCCCTCCCCTTCTCCCACTCCCCCTCCACCTCCACTTCCAGGAACTGGCGACTCTTATTCCAGCTCACTCCCTATTCATATAAAACGAACTTAAGGATTTCCCACCCCCCACTGCTTTTCAAGACGGACGAAATACTGTGCATTACCTTCACACGTTGGTAACCACCATCTCTCTCTCCCCCCCACCACATAGTGTAACACACAATACTCGGTGTCACCTGTGCAATTTCTGCTGGACCTAGAGCCCAGACGTGCAGTTACGAACTTGCCTCCCTGGCAATACCTTTCCTACTTGCTGGGGACAGTAACATTCACCGCCGGCTGACACTGTTATCTCCCTTATCACATATAACCTAAGTGCTACACTGATCTTCTACAAGATTGTAAATAGTTAAAGTTTTTGTTTCCTTCTTTTTTTTTCTTCCCCCTCTTCCACCACCGAGCTCTGACCCGCTACCAACAAGAACCAGTGATCAGCACGACCAATAAACAAAAGACGTGGCCTCTGTACAACTGATATCCTTAAACAAGAGAGGTCTCAACATCCCTGAAAAGCGGACTCAGGTACTTACAGAACTGCATACAATAAAAGCAGACATAGCATACTTACAAGAAACTCACTTCAAGGCAGATGCACCCCCTACACTACGTAACAAACACTACCCTACAGGATTTTTCAGTAACTATACAAAATCCAGAGCCCGAGGGGTAGCCATTCTCATTTCAACTAAAGTCCCTTCATGTATAAAGCCCACCAAACCTCTGACACAGGAAGACTGCTAATGGTAAATGGACAAATAGGTCACCACATAGTGACACTAGTAAACCTATACCTACCTAACAGGAGACAAGGGAAAGCACTTAAAAAATACTTTCACCTAATGGAACAATTCACTGAAGGTATTCTCCTACTGTGAGGCGACTTTAACATATCACTACCATGGACACAATTTCCAACGCACCTACCTACCAAGCCTCAACCAGGCGTCGGGTAGCCTCACTACTGGATGACGCAAGACTATTCGATATCTGGCGCACAACACACCCCACACACCGGGACTTTTCATACTATTCACACTCTACAAAATCATACTCCAGAATTGACATGATTTTCACCTAACACAAATATCTACATCTAGCTCATAAATGCGAATATGGACCTATTACCTGGTCTGACCATGCGCCCCTGTCCCTCACCATACAAATACCCCACCTCCCACCATATTCCTTCCAATGGAAATTAAACGACCTGCTACTAAATGACGCGAACACAATCACACTCATCCGCCAAAAGATACAACAATATTTTGACGAAAATCCCGATCACACAACATCCCCCACGACAACATGGGAAGCCCATAAGTGTGTCATAAGGGGACACCTTATCGCAATAGCATCTAGACTCAAAAAGAAAAGAACAGATTGTGCTGAAGCTCTTATATCCGAAATTAGATCTTTAGAAGCCACCCATAAACAAAATATCTCCCTAGAAACATACAAATTGTTAACGGACAAGAGAACGGAACTTCAAAAGCTGATGAACACCCAAATTAAATGACAAATGACATTCACCAAATACTCTTACTACTCCAAAGGAGGCAAATGTGGACGCCTTCTAGCTAACTCACTTAAAGAAACTAGACAAACTACATTTATATCCAAGATCAAAACACAATCAGGACACACATCACATAAAATCACAGACATACTATATGAATTTCAGAGGTTCTACACAGAACTCTACAACATTCGATCTTCCACTCCAACAGCTCTAGAACTAGAACACTACTTAACCCCCTGAATAAAACAAACAATACCCCAAAACCTATTACAACATTTAGAATCACCAATAACACCAGACAAATTCTTATTAGCAACCAAGCAATCCTCTCTTGGAAAAAGTCCGGACCCAGATGGCTACACAGCCAAATACTATAAAATATTTTCAGACACACTCGCCAACCCATTCATTAAGGCATTCAACTCCCTCACCACGAACTCAACCCTCCCAGATGCAGCACTAGAAGCACACATTACCCTAATTCCCAAACTGGGTAAAGACACCTCTCTATGCGGAAACTACCGCCCTATCTCATCAATCAATACAGACCTCAAACTCTTCACTAAAATCCTAGCTACTAGATTACGTCCTCTACTGCAAGACCTGATCCACCCTGACCAAGCAGGTTTCAGCCCCGGAAGCGAAGCCAAACACAACACCATAAAATTGATCAATCTAATGCGTTTAGCAGATCAATCACAATCAGAAAGCCTACTCTTATCAATAGACGCCGAAAAGACATTTGATATGGTGGACTGTTCCTTGATATTTGCCACACTAAAGACCATGGGATTCGGTACTAACTGGTCTCAATGGCTAAAATCCTTATATTCCAAACCCTGCGCACGAATTAGGATCAACGGTCAACTTTCAGAACCCCTTGCTATCTCCAACGGCACGAGACAGGGCTGCCCCCTATCCCCCTTATCGTTTGTCTTAATCATGGAACCCTTTCTCCAAGGCATTAGGGACAACACATCCGTCCATGGCATAGTAGTGAAGGATATAGAATACAAAGTGGCGGCATTTGCCGATGACCTTCTTTTCACTCTCACACAACCAAAGTCTTCCATGCCACAAATCTTAAAAGAAATCTCCCTATACCAACACCTCTCAAACTTTAAGGTCCATTTCACTAAAAGCGTAATCCTACCTCTAGTCATTTCAATATCCACTAAAGATATTTTACAACACTCTTACCAGTTCATTTGGGCATCTAAGGCAGTTAAATACTTAGTGATTCACCTACCTATACGTTTAACCCAATTATATGACCTAAACTTCCCTCCCCTTCTACAAACAATTTCAAAGGACCTAACGAGATGGCACAAGCCTATCTTTGGATGGCTGTGCCGTATAAACATAATCAAGATGAATATACGACCAAAACTTCGATATCTTCTACAAACCATTCCTATAGCAATACCAAAAAGAAAATAAAAAACAATTCACCCGTTTTGTCTGGTCTCACAATCACCCACAACTACTATTTAAACTACTAACAGCACACAAACACCAAGGAGGCCTAAGTCTCCCAGACATAGAACTTTACCATCAAGCGGCCATGCTTTCTAGAATCTATGATTGGACAATACCCACAAACAGCACACAATGGGTGATATTAGAAAGCGCTGCCTTCACACACCCTATCTATACTATCCCTTGGCAAAAAAAGGGTACTATATCCCTAAAACCAATACACAACCATCACCCCATGATTACTCCAACTCTTAAACTATGGGAAAAAATTAGAATGTCACAAAATATAGCTCCTCACCCATCCCCACTATACCCAATTACCCACAACCCACAATTCCCACCAGGAGCATTCCTATCCTCTTTTGCTTCGTTACAAACCACACACTACCTTACATTACAATCAACACTCCAGGCCTGATACGCCGAGAAATCCAACATCGCAACGACAGACAACGTTACAACACTACCAACAAAGGCAACTCACACACTTTCTCTCATCCTATCCAGAACTTACGGAGGGAAAAAGACAACTCACGCAATTTGAAAAACTTTGCACATCCACCAAGATAAAAAACAAACAACTATCTACTATGTACAATCTACTGACAACTGACGATGAACAACCATTACCCAAATTCACTAACTCCTGGGAATCAGAACTTAACATTCATATCTCCCCGAAGGACTGGGCACACATATTTCTTAGAATCCATAAAACATGCCTTAGTACACATTCCCAAGAGGGCAACTACAAGCGGATAACTCGATGGCACCTAACACCTATGAAACTAAACAAGATTTTCCCAAATGTTTCCGACTCCTGTTGGAGATGCGGACAACCTGCCAGCACCCCAGGCCACATATGGTGGCATGCGCCGATCATCACAGAATACTGGTCCAAAATATTAAAGATGATACATCTAATAATGAACATTAAACTACCCCCCAATCCTGAAGTCATACTATTTCTCCACTTCCCTGAACCTTTGCCTAAACCCACAAGATCACTGATTACCTACCTACTGATATCAGCAAATGCCCTCATACCCACACTCTGGAAGCAGTCAAGAGCGAGCTCCCACAATTAGAGAATGGGTTCAGAGGGTCGAATCTACCCACCTAATGGAAGATATCCACTATGCCAAAACACACAAATACCCCTTACTATCAGACATATGGGCTCCATGGGTCCACTACATACAAACACAAGTCAGATGCCGTACAAAATAGACTCAATAAACAACAACGTAAACGAACATCTCTCAAGTAATTAGAATCAGATTTCGCAACCACATTATCACTGGTTCTGGAAGCGAGACGAGCGGTTGGTACCTTCAACCCCTCTTCGATATTCAAGCATTCGTTATATGTTATCTGTTGTTTTATACTAAGATATTTACGAAAAAAAGAACAAAACTGCAGACAGGCTTTCTAACAAATAGTCCACCATGAGTAAAATGCCATCAATGTTGTTCAACCCACACTACCGCTTTATCAAAAGTCTTTTGCTCTTTCTTCACCACTCTGAGAAAGACATATATCTACAACAAAATAACTTGTACCCACCTGTTTATATTTTATATCTCATGTGTCTGACAGCTCATACTGGTGGAAACAATGTAACTATGAAATCGAATAACAAACGCAATGCATGAACAACTCTGACTCTAATGTCTGATATTATCCAATAAAAACCTTTTAAACCTAAAAATAAAAACAAACAAAAAAAATGCATTATGAAGGCTTTTATTAAAAATAGACATTTAAACATGTATAAGAAATTTAAAAATGTTAAATTCTATAAATGAACTATAGCACTATATTTTGGATAAATCCTTTTTATTTCAATTCTCATTTTAGAATACAGTATCAGAGGTGAAGGGCAAGAGCACTACAAGACAGTGTGATGGTGGGGTGGGCTAAAATATGATGAGAGAGTTATGAGACTTTAAAATAGAGTAATGGGATTTTGGGTGGAGAGGAGGACAAGATTTAACTGGAGAAACTGAGCTGGGCAAAAGACAGAACAAAGATTGCAGGGACAGAGGGGACATGGACATATCTGTAAAAGAGGAATATAGAAAGTAAAACTGTGAGTAATGAGATTAGTGGAGAGGATGGAAGGTTTAATAAGGCAAAATATCATAAATACTAAATTCTAATAAAATATATACTCGTTCCTAACAGATAAAATGTTTGAAAGGAAGCTTTGGAATTGGTTTCATTTAAAGAATATTTATATTTGTACATAAATTCTCGGTGCATCTTCAGCCAGTTACTTCCACAAAGCCTGAGTGAAGTCTTCTAAATGCTAAGAATCTTCTGACAGTCTAATTGCCAATCCACCACACATCCTAACCAATAACCTATAAACCAACCCTATTCCCACAGTCTATTAACCCTTCATCCCATCAATACCCGACCCGGACTGAGACTGCCATACTATGAAATCCTTACCTTCTAGAGATGAGTAGAGCCAGGAATAGAATCCACACTCGCTCAGTCTGTCGCTCTGTATACAGAAAGTTACTGAGCAGAGAGGGTGGATATGGGTCTAATAAGGGGCAGCTGATTGGGTAACTTTGCATACAATAGGTTCATTACCCACCAGGGTTCCCATTCATTTACATATAAATAGAAACTTGGGAAAAATGTAAACTGAGACTCTTGGAAATAAACTGTTGCTAAATGATGTCACTGTTCTAGATTTCACAATTTTTATAACATTTACTAATTAAGTTAAAATCTATTTTAACAGAATCCTTGAAATAATGCAGGTAATATTTTAACTTTATTTTATTTTTGGATTAACATTATCTTGGAATAATGAGCTTTCAGGAGATCTTCCTGTAAATCTAAAGCATTTCTGGAGAAACTGACCCATCTCGAGCCTGATCTATGATCCAGGGTTATAGCCAGATCAGATCGTACACAGGGATAAGTAGAGTAATAGCAGGAACAAAATAAGCACGTTGTTCCAGAGGGTAAAAAATATTCTGTATAATGGTCAGAGAGTGAGGAGAAAATATAAATCTATATAGAGGATAGTTCTGACCCTGTAGAAGATTCAGGCATCCCCTGCTATTACCCTAGTTATTCCTGTGTACAATCTTCCACAGGGTCAGAACTATTCTCTATATCGATTTATATTTTCTCCTCACTGATCCTTATACAGAATATCTATTTGTGACCCTCAGGAAGAACGTGCTAATTTTGTTCCTCCTATTGCCCTACTTATCCCTGTGTGATCTGATATGGCTTTTACTTTGTATTGAGATGGTTGTCATTATTCACCAATGCTTTACATTTCATTATAAAGTATATCCTGGCAACATTTAATGTAAAAACGCACTTCTTCCATTGTCTATGGATATAACATAATGGTTTCTACCAGTGGATTTTAGGGCACGATGTGGGGATGTAAATGTTTCCTGGTTTTGCCCCTCTATATAATGCTGCCCCCTAACCGGCTCTCATGCCGTGCAGTGTGGATAGGGGCTTACCTTGGTTCCTTATTGTGATTGCAGTGGGAGAGTATTCATACAATAACAATATATGGGCAATAATTCATGCACTGGTCAACCTTTCTATCATGTGATGGCTGCTCATTGCAGTGACAGTGATGGCAAGAAGCCATGAAGGAATTCAGAAACTGGAGAAGATAAAGAAAACCAGTGGATGGATTAGAATTTGGATAAAATGTCAGTGGGGATTTTCTTTTAGCTTTTAAAGTATTGCTTTCAGAATATTTTTGACACTGTATTGAAAAGAAAATCCAAATTTGAGAAAGAGAATTTTTATTTTTGAATGTTATGTAAATCAAACCTTCTAAAAGCTTTCTATTCAGTAATCACAGTAATTGCACACCTCGGTATTAATCAAGGCTTAGTATTGTCAATCTCCTAATATACATACATTCACAGACTGCTATATTAAGTTACTGTCTCCTTTTAGTCTGTTTAGCAGTCAGCAGTTTCTGTGTAAATGCAGGATTTGGGTGTGTTAATGAATTTGGGTTTAGCGTACGAAAGTCCCCTTATTGTGAAATGATTTCCCACCTACAATAACAATGTCAGTCTGCATCCAGCAGGGGGCAGAACTGAATAATGAAATATTTAATGGACTTTAAAATATCTGTGTTGTGGGATTTTATCTTTGTAAGAATAATATTATAATTCTTTATATTAAAATTAATTTTATTTCAGACTTCTTTCAGACACAGGAACTGAGAGGCCCTACCTATTTATCTAGTATTGCAGACTTCCATTGTATATCAATGGTCACTACATATGGTTCTAGTTCAGATAGATTGATTGAAGGTCTGTTGATATTAACCTTTGACCCAGCACTGCAAGCCAGACTCATGTCAAAAAATATGAGAGAACTTCTTTAGAACAAGAGACATCCAAAATTGGAAAACTAAATAGAAGATAATTATTAGGTCAAAAAAAGAAGGACAAGATTCAAAAGGAGGCTTATAAATATTCCTTTATTACTCAATTTAATGTACAACATTATGAGATCAAGAAAATATTAAACACACACTGGGATATTTTATTGAAGGATCCTATTTTGGGGAGAGTACTCCCAAGAAAGGCACCAGTAATTTTTAGAAAGGCAAAAAATCTAAAAAACATATTGGCACCCAGCTATGCCTTAAAAAACCCACACAGAAATATTAAAATAGAAAATAAAAAAGGCTTTCAGTCATGCAACAGATGTAAAGCTTGCAGAACACAAAGATTATTGAATATAAAAAAAATTAAAAGCATCATAACAGGGAAAGAGTTTAATATAAAATCTAACATAAACTGTGATACTCGAAATGTAATTTATGTCCTACAGTGTCCCTGCGGAAAAACAATACGTAGGGCGGACTTGTAGGGAACTAAAAGAACGTATCTTGGAACACCAAAACAATATTCGAAAAAAATTCAATAAACATATAGTTCCTATTCATTGTAACATGTGTAAAAAATTTAATTGGCAAAATTTCTATTTTTTAGGGATTGAAAAAGTAGAAAATTATTGGAGGGGTGGAAACCTCATTAAGAAATTGGCTCAAAGGGAAACGTATTGGATTAATACACTAAAAACTCTACAACCAAGGGGACTAAATTTAGATATTGATCTATGGTGCTTTTTAGATTAAAATCAATTCAGTGAAGCCCTATATAGTGTACCAATTGTATTACATTTGATCTTTATCTGGTGTTGGAAATCTTTGGAATAGGATCTTCAATTTTTAATTTCAATTTTTAATTTTATTTTTATCTTTATTTGTATGTTTTATTTTATACAAATTTTGTGTTGTATTTGGAGTTTTCCATGGTCTCTGTATTTGAGTCCTTCAAATTCTCTTTCAAACTCCAAATATGTAAGGAGCCTTTCCTCGCAACCATATAGGGAGAGAAAAGGGAGAAAAAAAAACAACTTATGTTTGTAGTCTTCACAAATTATGAACATGAATAGAAAAAAGATATAATTGAAAATTGATTGACACACAATTCATTGAAATTTATATATCAAATTTATAAAATAAAATAAAATTTATGAAAGATTTGCACATTTAACAATGGAAATAAAGATTTTTTTTGCGATTTTATATCTAACAATGGATCTTGACACTTCTAAAATTATAGTCACAAAAGTATTTGAAAATAGGAGAAGTATTCCCTAAATAAGATTTTATACATGGTTGCTTGCAGAGACTCTATTGCCTTTTGGCATATATTTGTGATACAAATGGAGAATGCATTTAGAATTAACATAAAGAGGAAATGTGTTCAAATAATTTTTTATATGTTTCTATTTTCCCTCCCACGCCTTCACCACATACAATATACCAAATTCATACAATCTTAATATGATGAACCGGATGTGGAGCTTAAAGAAATTCAGCACCCATAGAAAATGGCTGTGGAACGCAAATGGAATGCAAGTGGAACGCACGTCCGACGTCCGGAACGCAACGTGATGACGTCATACACCCGGAACCAGGAAGTGATCGGATTTTAACCGGGAGCAGCTTGAAGACACATATGAGAGAACTCTCACTTGATTATGGGGTGTATATAATGGGGAGGGGGTATTTGTAACTTTTATTCATTAATTTTTATTGTTTAACCTGTCAACATTACTGTAAAGTCCCCGAGGAAGTCCCAGCAGTGGGAAGAAACGCGTTGGACAGATGGTGGACAGTTTATGAAATTTTATGCTGATTGATTCTAACTTATGTGTAAGTAATAAATATATTTTTTACTTTGTACACATTTCTTCACTTTTCATTTTAGATGTATCTTTATCTCTTTGTATTACTGAGACTTGGAAGTTCATGCATTGGAGTAAGAACACTGCCTGAGAGCTACACAGATTTTTGATACGCCTTATTCATCCAGTCAAAGTGTGAGTGATCCATTTGGCTAACATTATAACTGTAGAAGCTTCACACGGAGTTGCACTATGTTATTTTTTGTTTCCCTATAGTTGGATTGACCCTAATTTGTGTATTTATGTACTCTGTGTTACATTGTTACACTTTTCATTTAAATCTGATTTGTCTTCTGTTAATCCATTCAAATCTATTTCTTTATCTTCTGATTCTAAATTGTCTTGACCTGCATCTTGTTTACAAATCAATGCATTGTTTGTTAATAAGAAAAAAACAAAAGATCAGAAATGTTATGAAACTAGTCTGCACTTACAATTTCTTGGCAATTTCACTATTGGCAATTTCACATTGTGTGTATAATGATTGCCACAAAACAGCATCTGAATAGCTGCTATTAAATGCAAACTGCAATTTACTTTTCTCTGCAATATCGTTTATGAATTCCATGTTACTCACCAGATCCGTTATTTCTGTTTATTTCATTGCTTCATCCACACAGCTGCGCAGTTCTGGACTTGAATCTGGAAACTTGCCAATCTCTGCCACGTGCTTGCTTGCAGAATTCACGTTGTATCTTTTCATGATTTCACGTTAATCGTTTTTTCAGTTGTAGAACATAGTCTTGTACAGTCTTTCTAGTTTGAAAATGGTATTTTTCTTACAAACACAGTTCTTCACACAATTCTTTTTCTGTGCAAATATTCTTAGTTTCTGTGACACAGTCTAGATTCTTTTTTCTCTTCAAGTTTGTTTTCCCAGTTCCAAAACTCATCTTTGTAACTTGATTCTTCTCTCTTCCCCCTTGATAGTTGAAACAAAACTTGAATAGAAGACTGGTTGGCTGGCCAATGTAATAAATGGTCTGTGTTTTCTCCAGTTGATTGATATATACTTCTTTTGTATATATAGTCTTGGGTCAAAGGCTAGCAACAGTAATATACATCTGTATTAGGATACAATGTATTCCTCCGATAAGCAGCAGGTCAGCTACCCAGTGTATATAACACTGGCTACAACAGACCCTAGTGTAATCATCCAGAGGCAAAAGTCAAAACACAAAGGAATAGTGAGAGATCTGCTAAACAGTGAGAAATAAGCACAGGAAAAAATATATAAAGTGAAGGGTATGTATACAAGGAGATAGGTGCATAGTGATAAGGTGCTCCATAATGGAGGGACCTGTGAAAAAAAAACAAAGTGCATTTCGGTGTGATAATACACCGTCCTCAGGGGCAAACGTGAATGTCACATTACAAATTATTATTGAATTATTACAAAATCCTCACTTCTAACCCCACTATTCAATTCACTAAGGCATTACGCACCTTAGTAAACAAGATGTTCGATATGGGGATAATTGATAAATCAGAAAAAGGATTTTTACTCTCGAGTGGGGGCAATATACCGATATTCTACTTCCTCCCTAAGATCCATAAGTCCCTCAGTAATCCTCCTGGAAGACCCATCATGTCATCCATCGGTTCGTTAACGGCATCCCTGTATAAGTGGGTGGACATTCACCTTCAGAAATTTGTGATCAATTTACCTTCACATATTAAAGATACAAGGCATGTGCTATCCCTAATGCAGGATATAATATGGCAGGAGAACTATTGTTGGTTAACAATTGATGTGGCAGCGCTCTACTCTATTATAGATCATAATTTGGGTCTAAAGGCATTAAAGCACTTTTTATTTGCTGATCCACTTCTCCCTTGGTGTCAGGCGGAAGCTATTTTGGAGAGTGTATTATTCATTTTAACTCATAATTATTTTAGCTGTAATGGACAGCTATGCCAACCTATTTATGGCGGACTGGGAATCCAGTGCCGTCTGGGGACAGCATGCCTGGGTGCACAACCTGGTCTCCTATTTTAGATACATTGATGATCTGTTTTTTATATGGAAAGGCTCAGAGGATTCTCTCAACTCTTTTATATCACATCTTAATTTTAATAACAGAGGGATTGTCTTAACTTGCTAATATAGTAAAGAATCAATCAACTTTTTAGATTTAAACATTTATATTAAAGAAGGAAGAGTACACACAAAAACATTTTTTAAAAAGTATGCACCAATACAGCAATTGACCAGACAAGCTGTCATTACAAGCCTTGGTTAGAAAGTGCTCCTAAGAGTCAATTTTTATGAATACATCGGAATTGATCCCATATTGATGATTTTAATGAACAATCGTTGTTTTTAAAGAAACAATTTACTGAAAAAAATTATTCACCTACTCAATTGAGTAATACCATAGAAACAGTGAGAAATAAATCTAGAGAAAGCCTTTTAATTTATAAGGACAAAAATACTTCAGAAGTCCCTACCCTCCCTATAATTTTTAATTATAACAATAAGAGTGGTTTTATAAAAAAAAACAATTAAAAAACACTGGTACCTTCTGAGACAAGATGATCTCCTTAAAGATATTTTACCAACACAACCCAAAATAGTTTTTAGAGGTGCACCTAACTTTAGATCTATTTTAACTATACTAGAGAAACTAAAAATATAAATCACACCTTTTTAGACGGAGCTACAGGTTTTTATAAATGTAAACGTTGCATTGTGTGTAAAAGCACTGACCCTTCCACACATTCCAAAGTTACTAATTTTAAATCTAATATAACTAACAAGAGCTATATTATAAAAGACTTTATCGGCTGCAACACTACTAATGTTATCTACCTATTGGAGTGCCCGTGTGGCCTCCAATATGTAGGATGACCACCAGGTGCCTCAACACTATCTGTTCATATTTCATTATCATTTTAATAATGAAAATAATAATAATTTAATAATAAAATGGCAGCCGAACGCCCTATTACTACATATCCCATGCGGCTATGCGCCGCCTATCTCCATCTTTCCGATCACGTGACCCGCGCATCACATGTGCCTCAGTTGCGGCGGGTCACGTGATACCTACGCACCCACCCCCTATGACGTGTGGCCGCACTCCCTAAGAAGCCCAGATCCCCTCCCACTTTCTATTGTGGCATACAATGCTGATGCCGACCACATTTCCCATAGTGCCGTGCGAGTCACGTGACGCGTCATATCTTTTATAATATCACATATAAAGTTACAAAGTTTGTTTTAAACCCATTTCTATCTTAAATGATTGTTACATCTGATATTTATTATAAACATACTTTTATTCTTTATTTTACACTCAATTGTAAACTTTAATTTCAAATGTACAATGCATTGCTCTGATTGGCTAATGATGCTATTTTGGCGCCATTTTTAAAGTACTAATGTACCTATATATACCCTTAAGTTGCCAGGTTCTAATACTATTCCATTTTGATAAAACCCTAGTGGTGAAATGCGTTAATGGTTTTAATATTGTGTATTTTACATAATAAATTATTTTTGGTTAGATTTCTGTGCCATTACCTTCTTACACACTATTTTATTTTCCTGGCATTTTATTCATTTTTTAATACCTATCCTAAGGTAGCGATTATACCACCAATGCTACTACTAAAGTGCAGCGATGTTTGCACTCCATTTGTGAGTATATTTTATTTTATTCACTATTACGTCATACCATCAGAGAGCACTATTTGCTGTTTTTATTCCCCTCTTCTCCTGAGAGTTGGACATCATTATCTTCCGGAGGACAAGCATCTACATATCCTATAAGCGGGAATTATTCCGCCGTATGCCTGTTACACCTGAGCTGGCCATAGCTCATTCAAATGTGAGTGTTCCATCTATATTTTAATCTATTTATTACTCATCTTATACACTCTGCACGATTGGTCCTTTCTCCTTGTGTCTTCCATATCACGAGACGATTTGAACTACTAGAAACATAGAGGACACTCTGCTAGCAAATACAGAGACCAAGTCTATTTAACCTCAGACATTCCATTGGACTATTTATATTTTTATCCTTTTCTGTATTTTTATACTTTTAGCATTTTTTATCTTGGTGCAGCCTTTCTTTTTTCTTGTTGCACATTTCAAACAGAGAGGGTGAGAGGGCTACCGTCTGTAAGGTCGCTGCCTATCTATTGTATTATTAGAGCTAGCCTACCCCTTTTATCTTTTTTGTAATGTACTAACTAAAACTTTTAAAAAACCCGTTGACGTTAACGGTTTCTTACACTCGACCAGTGGTCACCATCCAACATGGATCAACAACATTCTGTTTGATCAATTTGTCAGACTACGCCGTAACTGCTCCCTGTTGGAGTACTTTGAAGAAGAATCATTTGACCTATGTCAACATTTTTTTAGACAAAGAATACGATCCAGGCATGATCCTTCGGGCTTACCAGAAAGCAAGTAGTTTGAATAGAAGCTTCCTTCTCGAATCATCCATGGATGAATACTGTCCAGCTATACTGCTACAAACATCAGATACACACAGGGCGGTTGTGTCCTTAATGGAAAGCCAATCCTCAAGAAGAATGATGAAGAATAAATGGAATAAATTTAGCATTAGTACTAAGGATGTTACCATGAATAAGGTCCCCATCTTCCCCACAGTTTTTAATAATGCTTATGACCAGATTATTTCAATTCTTCAGAAACATTGGTCGATTTTACAATTGGACCCATGGTTGAATTTTAGCATATCTGGAGCACCTAGAGTGACAGGAGAAACGTGAATCTCAAAAATCTGTTAGCACCGTCTAAATTTACCCCGATAGGACCTTTGAACCCACCGACCCATCTTAAACCAGGGTGCTTCAGATGTGGTTCAACTACATGCTTAACCTGTCACCTATTTGTGCCGTGGGATATCCAATTTCAATTCCTCTAACGATGAGACGTATACAGTTAATTCAAGGATCACATGCAATTCTTCCTTTGTGGTCTACCTCCTCACCTGTTCATGTGGACTCTTATATGTAGGTCAAACCATCAGAACATTAAAAACCAGGTTTAGAGAACATAGACTGGCCATTATTCATAAAGACAAAAAATCCCCGGTAGCTAGACACTTCCAACTCTCCCATGAGAGTAACCCTATATATATATCAGTGATGGGAATTGAGCACATTTCTGAAAAGATTAATAATAATAATAATAATATTACAAATAAAAAACAAGCCCTCACCATGGCTGAAACAAAGTGGATTTTTAAACTCAATACACTTAATCCCCATGGGCTCAATGAGGAATTGGAGCACATTATTTAAACTAACAAAGTCACTAAGATTAACTCTAGGTGTGATCTCTATTGTCTTTTGTATGAATTTTCTTTTTCAATAGATACCCCTCTATGGATATGTGGTACATAAAGAACGTCCTGTCTTTCCCTGACTGGTTAAATGAGTATGACCAAGTCTTATTGTTGTGAGTGGTTTAATCAGCCGGAACACATTTCTTTCAGTAAATACTCCTTTAAGAATTTTTCGTATTTAGATTGCATCTTTACATATTATATATATATATGTAATATTATGCTTGATAATTAGGATTAGGTTCCCTGAGACATCCCCAACAATAGAAGTGGTTATACCTATATTGAGATGAATCAATTTTAGATTTTTTATTCACTGATATATATTGATATTCAGCATGAATAAAGTTGGGCTAAACAGCCATATTGCAGACGAAATGAAGATTGGTGCTTGGTATAAAAAGTATCAGTTTGGTAAACTAAATACACCCTCCTTATCTATATATTAAGATACTTGAGTTGTATCATTATTATTTCTATTGTGGTCCTCTTTTAACTTTTTTTATATATATTGTTTAGATATACATCTTTGGTTTCTCAGGTTAGAGCATTATTTAGGTAATATGCCCGTTTTTTTGAATGGTGATCTCATCACTGTTATAACTTTGAACTAGGGTATATATACCCACTAATATTGCAGCAGACACCAGTCTTGAGAAAGTCCTTGTTACAGGATGAAACGCGTAGACTGTCTCATGATCATAACTTTTACTGCATCTCCAGCATGAACTTTACGACCCAGTAACAATTCCCGGTAACAGGAGTTACCGGACTAAAGCATCCACTTTCATCTCTTGGCGGGCAGTTTGGCTTGCTCCCCCAGCCTCACTCGAAGTACAGCGGATAGCGTAAGTTGCTCTGGCTTACCCCCAGAGTTTCTTCAGACGTGGGGCCAGTTCCAGTGAAGCACCCTCAGTTGATACCTAGATGTATGGTGGGTTTTAGAGCTCCCTGCCCTCCGGATATCCCTTGATCATTATTTTAGGTTTTGTGTACTGAATTCACACATTTTTTCATTTATTTATATGACAACAAAGTTCCTATTGGGACACGGACTACTATCAGTGTAGGGGCCCCACACTGCCCTATAGAACTTTGTCCGGATACTTTGTGTCTATTTATATGTGTCATATTTATTGATTTTATGTTTCATTGTGATTGCACATTATCCTATTTATTTTAATTGTAGATGAATTATGTCTATTTATGATATACCTTTGATGCACACTTTTGATTTGACCCTATTTTAAGAGTACTCTATAGGTTTAATAAATAGTTATTTTTATACATGGTATATTGTAGTTTGAGAATATTTGATGACATCCATTATTATATGATAATAGATCTGTTGGTCCTCACATAACTGATTTATTGTATATCTACTACATTATATGTGATACTATTTGTCTTTTATCCTCACTGCTGGAGTGCAGATTAAGATTGGTGGTGACATCTATTTGGAGCGCTCACATATCAGTTTTTGGTTTATACTTTATGTCCATTTACAAGTCACTCATTTTTTATTGTGATGCAGCCCTCTAATACAATTATATACTATTGTAACAGAACACCTGTTATTGCCTGGAAGCCCCAGCTCCAACTGTTTACACTAATCTACTAAACTAAACTAAACTGTCTTTCGCCTCCCTACTGCCCGGGTACACCTAGACAAGGGAGTCGGATCTGGAAAAACCACTGTTGGGATAATGGACAACTTACCTGCCGAAGTCTTGCTGGGCCCCTGGCTTCTGCTTATTTGCCCACCACAACTACTACCGCTTGCCCTGTGACCACCCGACCTCGGACCCGTGCTGCAGAAGATCCTACACCAGGATGGGAGACCCAGGTAAGCACCCCACCGACCCTTCCCCTGACTGGAGCTAATAGACCCTTAGCTTGGGATACCCAGAGGAGTGTGGCAGGGAAGCCAGAGAGGATCCTTCCCTCCAGAAATACTGGGAGAAAGCAGAGACTGGGGGGGATGAGCACGAAAGATTTATCTGGGACAAGGATAGGTTATATAGATTAAGTGAAGGTAGGAAGAGAGGATGTGCCCCTTCTCAGAAGCGCCAACTAGTGGTACCCAGAAAGTACCGGTTGGAACTTCTCCGAATTGGGCACAATATCCCCTTAGCAGGACACCTGGGTGGTAATCGCACGACTTACAGGATCACCCAGACCTTCTTTTTGCCGGGGATCTCTAAGGACGTGCGGTATTACTGCAGCACGTGTGTGTTGGGGATAAAATCAGCCTGGGCCCTTTGTGGATGATGGATATTTGCCAACTCATTCAGAGCTCTGGAAATTGGAAATGAATAGCAGAGACGTGTTCAATAACCAATTCAAATTTTATTCATACGTCAGTTATATTTATAACCCGTTTTCATAGCAGGATGGGAGGGGGGAAAATGAGCATATGGGCGTGACAATGATGACAATGACATAGATTGTTTTTCACAAGTTATGAGCAGCTGTTTCTCATTATAATTCTACGTTATATAACGCATGCATATTTGATAAAAACCAGATGTTTACAAATACCGAAATCTTGGACAAATAACAAGAACATTTCGAAATCAGTACTTTTCCCGTAAATAGGATTTCAGATAAATTTTATTTCCAAGAATCGGAGATACAATTCCAAATTTATTCTTGGTTCAAATTAACCCTTATATGAACAGCTAGGATAGATAGCAAAATGGATATTCGTATCTACAATTCCCCTCTTAGATCATATCATGATCTACCTTACGGAAAATATCCATGGGAGGCCTGCGGCAGAGAAACGAAAGGAGGTATATTCAGACGTGCCAATCACGTCTGCGGGACGTTCATTATTTCTTCACCTCAATTTCCCCCATTTGCTCTGTGCCTTAGGTTTTCCCTTTAAGAGGAGTTCGAGCTGTCAATTTTCAGCGTTTTCAATTATCTGTTGAATACATCTTTTAAGCGTACAAGTTAAATATTTCAAAAAGCTGACATGTTAACCATTTTTAAACAGACTGACCATCATGTTATCTGTAGCTTGAGCCTTGGGTCAATACAGGCAAAGTGTATTATTCCCAACAACGGGAATATTATTATTATAATTCACAACGTAAACACATATAGTCAAAATGGGAATAATATCTATTCCCCCTCTTTGGACCAGGGTCTTGGATTACCAGTCCACCCAGTGAACTTGGGCCAGGTCAAAAAACCGAGTGGCAAAAACTCATATTTGAGGAAAAAAGCACATCTGGGGAAACGCTAAGTGAGGGCCATGACTGTGTAGACATGTCATCCCCTCACGTTGACAGCATTAGTGACTTATAAAACCCGCATTTGTAAGTAAATAGCTCGGGTATCGGGATTGGGAAACACTTCTTGATTAGTTTGAAAAGGCCCACTTACATATTAAATCATGAGATAATTTCTAATCAGTTTGCAATTCTAACAATAATCCCAATCATGACCTTGCATCCTTTGTCTCCTAATCACATCTCTATTTCGACGGTCCAGTCATATCCACACTTAATACATGGGAATCCATCCTTGGTACACTCAACATACATCAATGACACATATAGCACATCCATGCCTGAGTAAGCTAACACTTCCTCTCTCTCTGGCTAACTCTACAAAAATAAAAATTACAAAATAGTTCAATAGTCCAGCATAGTCCATAAAAATTGAATAAGTCTTTCAAGGAGTATAAAGAATCTTAGACACCATAAACTTTGCTCCATAATCTTAGACACCATAACATAGCTAAGGGTAGCAATATGGCTGACAACAAGACATAGTTCTTAATTCTTCTGTTTGCTGGATGTTCACCACAATACTCTGTGCAACACCCCAATTGTTGAAAGGGTAATACAGAAATAGCGGCATTATTCAGCACTACACCTTCAGGACTTACCAAGTTAGTTTATGTCCTCATAAGTAAGCATCTCAGTTTCTTCGGCCAGCATGGATTTTGACCAAACAGATTTAATTGTGAAAAAGGTAGGTAGGCAGGTAGGTCAGCCAGAGAGATTGGTGTGTAGTCCCAAATATCAGACGGCACAAATACTCCAGTACGGTCTCCATAATCATACAAACACAAGGATCAGTACGACATCAATAAATTAATTATCTAGGCTAAATTTAAATTAGAGACTAAAGTTAAACTCTTAACTAGTGTAACATGTACTTCTCTCAGTTTTGCTTATAATTCCTTGAATTTGTCCTTTATACAATTTTAATACATAATTTCCCTTTAGAATGCCTTTGTATGGATGAGAGAAGCACTCATTCTATATAAATACTTATTGAGTACTAAAACACTAACATATACATATTGGAATAATTCCCAATAAAATGCTGTTCTTAAACTTAAACCTTGATTTGATAATCTCAATTAATTACTTTAATAAAATTGGAATGCTGAAGTCTGTCAGAAATTTTGTGGACCCCGATAACATCTTTGGAAACCGAAACCTTTTATAGATCACGATGTCCAAAATACCACCAGTTCTGTATGTGTGTGATCATGTTTTAATACTGTACAGTTATCTCACTTAAACAATCTTTTTTTTTTCAGAACAACTAGGAATGAAATAGGAGAAACAAAATGAATTACTATTGTTTTAAAGTGCTTTGTTTAATACAGGTTTCGGAAGAGTTGTCTTGCTGTGTTAAGGTTGCAAGTGACCTCTGATAAGGAAGGGACAGCAAACTGTAGACATATGTTAGATTAAGTTGCCCTCACTTGTCAGGTCCTGGAAACCCACGTGTTTTATTGTAGATGCCTCTATGATACCACGTTACAAATTGACTAAGCATACTTATTATTATCCTATTTTATTTTAGCTATTTCACATTGCGCAGCCTATGCAAACAATGTCTATGTCCCAACTTCAGCTTGTACATCCTCTAAGAGCCAGCATTAATACTGTTTTATCACTCAAAACTATAAAGTATTAAAAACATGAACCATCTGTGTATTCAGTTAGGCTGGGGTTGTTGGGTGTGGGTATAGTTTGGAAGCTGTGGTTGGTATTGAGGAACTGTCAGGGTGGGTCCTTGAACACCAGCTGGGCCAGGATCTCCCGTAGCACCGGGTTCTCCTTTGTTTCCTTGAGCACCAGGTTCACCATTGTTACCCTTAGGTCCAGGGGAACCTCCGGGGCCTTGAGGTCCAGGAGCACCACAGGCACCAGGGAAGCCAGGGGCACCAGCAATACTAGGAGTACCAGTGGGGCCAGCTTGACCGGGAGAACCGGGTTCACCATGAGCACCTTGGGGTGAACCCCTGCTATCCACAATTAAAACACTGCTGAAGTTACCACCTCTACAAAAGTTAGACCCTTTGATCAAATCCTCTACCTCTGCCTCTAAAACTTTTCTGATTCAATCTCCTATCACCTCCCAAATGTCCGTGTCTCGCCTGCTTAAGATCACAATCCTTTGTGACCGATACAACATACTTTTCCCTCTTTCTTTATATCAAAACAACCTGCTGTATCTTTCTCATGAATCTTCCCAAGAAATTCAGTTGGGGTCAAAGCGGGCCAGTCACAGACCAACAGTTTGCCCAAAAGTGAACAAGGAGGAAGCATATTCCACATGCAGGTCGAGATTACCTAACTCACACCCCCTCTTTGTGTACCACACAGATATATTAATAAGCTTTTGAAGATTTATTGTATATGTATAGCATAGCAGTTGTCTAGGGGTGTATACATAAACAGTGAAAGCAGAGTCTTCATATAAGGTTTGCAATTCTGACAGTCTGGGTCATAGGTGTAATGCAGACATGCGGTTAGGTACTTTCCCATTGTCAGAACACTAATATATTGCAAATATTAAAATCATATTGCAGCTGTTTCCTATACCTGCCAGGATATGGTTGTAATACTTCAATTGAGTTCAAATTGAGTATCAAAAGTCTAACCACAAAAACTAAATTTTATATGCTTATCAAAAATGAGTTTAACCCCTTAGCGATTTAATAGGGTGATCTCTTCCCATAGTATAATTCCTTTTATAACTATTATATTATTTATTCTCTTCTGGGTCTGCAAAATGCTTTCAATATACCAATACAAATATAATACAGTAGTTTAGAATTGCCTCAAAAGAAATTATCTGATTGCTATTAAAAATACCCTTTCATCATTTTGCTATAATCAATGAGGCATACTAGATAAATATTAATCTTGGAAAAACCTATCCTATACATTTCTTGTTATATAACCATATAACATAACAATTGTTTATGTTAAAGATAACAATTTTTTCTTTTTCTTTGACTTAAATAATGCAATGCACTTTAAAAGTAGAGTTAACTCTAAATACTCCCCTGATAATACGGAGAGAGAGAGAGAGAGCCATTTAAAATTGGAAACGTGGATCTACGATTTTGAAAAGCAGATGATATTTTTTTTTTCTTTCTCAGGGGCCCCTTTTTCGTGAGCTGATCAGCATTTAATCTGTTGTAAAAAGACACTAAAGGCTTGTGTTAATGACATGCAAATATTCTTTAAATATTCTTCATACTCATTGTAATATCACACATGTCATCTTATAACACAGAACACAGCGAATGTAGCAGATATCCAGCAGGCATGCCAATACAAAAAACTTATTCATGGACAGGCAATTAATCCAAAATAAATTAATAAATGTCACACTCGGTGTCCCTCAAAAGAAACACAGACATAATGTAGGTTCCCATGTTTGTGCATTATGCATGTCTGCAGACTATGCAAGCAGTACTGCTTTAAGATTAGATCAGAGAACCTGGCAACTGGACAGGAAAGTCGAATTTTGGCAAGTAGTCCATTATTGCAACAGAATTTTGGAAATCAGCTAAAACTTACAAAAACAGCCCTGCCTCCCACCTCCCCCCTGTTATTTTTTTTTTTTTTTTTTTTAAGACTGCAACTCATATTGCTCTTGGACTAGTATTCAATAATAAATCAGTTATTTAATAGATTATTACGCTGCCATTTCCATCTGTATCAATACTGAGACAAACATTCAAATATAATTTAAAATAACACAGCAAAATACCCATTAACATACATGACAAACTGCATACTTCAAAATTAGTAACCAAAACACACATTTATCACAATCACCATTTACACAGAATAAACTTTTAACAGCTGTATTCAGAACATATTATTGTAGGGTATACCAATTTTAGTTTGTATCAAATTTATTTAAAAAGTTTTTTTTTCTTTTTAAAGAAGGGATCCCGTACGGCCATATAAAGCGTTTGACTTAAACATTTGTATAACACGTGCATTAACCAGTTGCAACATACGTACCCTGTCAATAGAATTTCTCTCTTATACGCTTATAAAACATTTGGACCAGATTACACAGACATGGTATCACCTGCATTTGTCAGAACTCTCAAAGACTCAAAATATTTATACTACTCCATGTTAAAGGCATGGCAAAATTTTGACCGGTCAATTTGAGTTACCAAAAGTCATATCAACACAGGTAAAAACCTTTGTCCATGGTTTTCTGATCCTACATTCCATGACCAAAATTTCAAACCCACTTCTGCACAGTTTGGGTCCCAATCAATAAAATCTCAGCATCCCCATACAACAATTCTAAATTTTGCTCTCCAATTTAAAACATCTCCATTTACAACATAAATTCTCTGCAACAAACACACAGGGCAGAAAGAATGTGGTGTTTGACGTTTTGAATGAAGTGACTTTTTGTCCCAATATGAAAATAAAGGGCTCATCATATAAACAATCATACATCCCCCTCTCATTAAAAAGTGTAGTGGGCTTATAGTACTTTTGTCCAAGTATAAAATAAAGGGCTCATTATTCAAACAAACATACATGCAGAGACATCATGTTAGTTCTAGAATTTGTAGCCCCCTCCTTAAATAACCTCTATTTTTTTTTCTCTTATTCATCATCACCTTTACATGTACTTTTAATATTCCCTCAATTTAGACCTTTTGCTTAAAATCAGCATTGCACATCATAAAATAGCACATAAAGCAAGCTGGAGTAATGCCAAACATCCATCATACTCCGAATGGAGGCGTGGGTTTGAATCCCACTTCTGACACCAATTTGTTGGGGATAAAATCAGCCCGGGCCCTTTGTGGATGATGGATATTTGCCAACTCATTCAGAGCTCTGGAAATTGGAAATGAATAGCAGAGTTCAATATCCAATTGTGGATAGCAGGGGTTCACCCCAATGTGCTCGTGGTGAACCCGGTTCTCCCAGTCAAGCTGGCCCACTGGTACTCCTGGTATTGCTGGTGCCCCTGGCTTCCCTGGTGCCTGTGGGACCTCAAGGCCCCAGAGGTTCCCTGGACCTAAGGGTAACAATGGTGAACCTGGTGCTCAAGGAAACAAAGGAGAACCTGGTGCTAAGGGAGATCCTGGCCCAGCTGGCGTTCAAGGACCCACCCTGACAGTTCCTCAATACCAACCACAGCTTCCAACCTATACCCACAACCAATTAAAATTTTATTCATACGTCAGTTATATTTATACCCCGTTTTCATAGGAGGATGGGAGGGGGGAAAATTAGCATATGGGCATGACAATGATGACAATGACATTTCGAAATCAGTACTTTTCCCGTAAATAGGATTTTAGATAAAATTTATTTCCGAGAATCGGAGATATAATTCCAAATGTATTCTTGGTTCAAATTAACCCTTATATGAACAGCTAGGATAGATAGCAAAATGGATATTCATATCTACAGTGTGATGTCTGCCAGCGAGTGGGGAAAAGAGGGGACCACCCTAAGGCTCAACTGTTACCCATGCCAGTGATCGAGGAACTCTTTAGCAGGGTAGCAGTCGACCTAGTAGGGCCCATACCCAACCCCAGCCCCTAACCAACCCCCATACATTCTTACCGTAGTGGACTACACTACTCACTATCCGAAGGCCGTCACTCTGATTCAAAAATCCTTTCATATCAACCTCCTGAAAGAATATCAGGAGAGGCCAGAGAACAAAGCAGCCATATGTATCCCCGCTACAGATGACCCTGACAGCCTACCTATCCCCAACTTCCTAGCTTGTCCTGCGCCCGGCAGGCTGCTTAGTGCTGTCCAGCTAGGGGAGCGCCTAAACCCTGCAGAAAAGGGCCAACTTAGACAACTGTTCGCAGAAAAAGAGTTAACCTTTTCCCAAGAACCAGGATACACTACGCTAGCGACACACCACGTAGAAACCCCTGGACAAGCGCATCTCAGACAACCCCTCTATCGGATCCCAGAGGCAGTTAAGGAGGGGATGAGGAAAGAAATTAAAGAAATGCTTAAGCTAGGAGTTATAGAGTTATCCAACAGCCCCTGGGCCTCTCCAGTAGTCTTAGTCCCCAAAAAGGATGGGCCCACACGGTTCTGCGTTGACTATAGACGCCTCAATGACCGAAAAGTGACAGATGCTTATCCGATGCCCCGAGTGGATGAACTATTAGATCGTATTGCCAGGGGACGTTATCTGACCACCATCGAATTGTGCAAGGGCTATTGGCAGATCCCCCTGGCCAAAGAGGCTATCCCCCAAGTCGGCCTTCGTCATCCTGTTTGGCCTATATCAATTTAAGGTTATGCCATTCGGGATGAAGAATGCCCCAGCCACTTTCCAACGCTTGGTGGATAGGCTCCTTGATGGCTTCCAGGACTTCGCTTGTGCGTACCTGGATGACATTGCGATCTATAGTGAGACATGGGGGGAGCATCTAAAACACGTAGAGGCCGTATTGGATCAGATTCGGGCCACAGGCCTGACTCTGAAACCTGAAAAATGCCACCTGGCCATGATCAAGGTCCAGTACTTGGGACACCGGGTAGGGTGTGGAAAGTAGCGCCCCAAACCGGCCAAGATTGAGGCAGTAGCAAATTGGCCCACCCCCCACAACAAGACCCAAGTACTGGCCTTCCTAGGGACAGCGGGGTATTACAGAAAATTTGTGCCTGACTATAGCACTATTGCTAAGCCCCTGACAGATTTAACTAAAAAGAACCTACCCAGAATAGTCCTGTGGTCTCCCTCCTGTGAAGCAGCCTTTCAAGCACTAAAGAACGCTTTGATCAATGCTCCTGTATTAGCTGAAGGAGCCCTACGGTGATGGTGGAACTTGAGGAGTACACCACTGTGGCGGACCGCCTGGCAGGTACCTGGCTAAAGCTTCATATTCAATCAGGGACCAGTGGCAGGTACCTGGCTAAAGCTTAATTTTCAATCAGGGACCAGTGGAAGGTACCTGGCTAAAGCTTCATATCCAATCGGGGACTAGTGGCAGGTACCTGGCTAAAGCTTCATATCCAATCAGGAACCAGTGGAAGGTACCTGGCTAAAGCTTCATATTCAATCAGGTACCAGTGGCAGGTACCTGGCTAAAGCTTCATATTCAATCAGGTACCTGGCTAAAGCTTCATATTCAATCAGGGACCAGTGGCAGGTACCTGGCTAAAGCTTCATATCCAATCGGGGACCAGTGGCAGGTACCTGGCTAAAGCTTCATATCCAATCAGGAACCAGTGGAAGGTACCTGGCTAAAGCTTCATATCCAATCAGGAACTAGTGGAAGATACCTAGATACAGCTTTATACCCTACCAGACATCATTACAAGGCACCTGGTGAAAGCTTCATATCCAATCAGGTATAAGAAAAAGAGACCTAGCTAAAGCTTTATACCTAAGCAGGTATCACTGGAAGGTAGATAGCCAAAACGTCAAACCCAATCAGGGATCAGTGAAATGCACATGGCCAATGCTTCATACTCAAGAAGCGGATACCTTGAGAATAAATCTATGTCTCTAAGCAGCACCTTGCTTGATGGACGATATAAACATCCTACGCACTGCCCTTACAGGATTACACTGTCCGCGTTACTCATTAAAATGTGAATTTCCGTGTAGTTTAAGACAACATATGTTAATTCATTGAGCATCGTATTTAAATTTCATTTGGCAGCTTTAAATATGAAGATATTAACTATTGCAACAAGTTTCTCCATTAGCCGGCAGAGATTCTCAACTGGACAGTATAACACATGGTGAATAAAACTGAATTCTATGCATGAATTCACTGTATAGTATGGGGTCCAATAAAACATTCAGATATTAACCTTTACAATAGCGCCAGCCTCCCAAACAGCTTTGGCCTCTAAGCCTTTCTGCCAGTGCCATTATCCAGGATATTTATTTAGCGTGACATTAGCACTATGCCAACACCCATGAGATTGATACAGACCGTGTACATTCTATCATTCCAGGAAAATGACAGACGAAGGTTGGTTATATACACACCAGATTTATTGAAGAAAAGCATTGTTGCAAAAATAGTGATATTCAAACATGTTATGTACATTGCTCTTTTTGGTTTTAGCGAAGCCTAAAATAAGAGTTTAGTTCCAACGGTGAAACAAATATACAGATAAAACGTATACAAACACACCTTTCTAGTTTTGACATTAAAATTATTTTATTTATAACATGGTTGAGTCTTCAAAATATTCACAGTAATAGCATTAAAATTAAACATATAGGATTATTTTTAAAAAATATATATACACCAGAGTACATTCAGCAAAATAAAGATATTTCCCTTTTTGAAATTCACATTTAGAGTTTGTACTATTCTAAATACTTTGTGCGTCGAGGCGGATGATACACACAAACATCCTGAATCAGGAGGAGCCCTGGATTAGCTTAACACCCTAAATAAACAAAGCTTCCAAATACTTGACCACCTACAAAGGTAAAATAAAAACCAAATGTTCAACAATACATACAGGTCCCCAACAGAAAGACGAGAAACATGGATGTCTGTTTCTTGCTATGCGTTAGATTTTCTCTGCCCAACCAAGAGTTTAATTCACTCCATTTTACTGGTGCAGATCATGTGTCACAGGTTAAAGGAACATGCATCACTTTGCAGGCTGAAAACAAGCAGGCGAGTTATGTTTTTTCAGGTAAACCTGTTTCTTCTTTCTTATGCTTTCCACACCCACTCCAGGGGGAACACTGATCTGACCAATCAGTGTCCTATCCCTAGGAATAATGGAAAAGTGCAATGGGCTTGCCGGACAGATTTTTACCTATGTACAGTAGGAAGATCTCTTCACCTTGCAACATCCTGACAGGCGGTTAGTGTAATCATGCAGAGCAGGCTCTGCGGTTATGGGTTCTCTCTCCTCCTGCTGCGCAATGACCCCCTTATTCTGTCATTAGTGAAATGGTCTAGATCAGGCATAGGCAACCTTCGGCACTCCAGATGTTTTGGACTACACCTCCCATGATCCTTTACCAGCATTATGGGTGTAAGAGCATTATGGGGGATGTAGTCCACAACATCTGGAGTGCCGAAGGTTGCCTATCCCTGGTCTAGATTACTATGTGGATAAGGTGGGGAGGGCTGAAGAAACTCCCCTAGTTGAGAAGCATGCATTACAAGCTGACAACGTTTTTTTGTTAATGTTTATTACATACTTTTCAAAGTTGTGTTTGCTTTATTTTGATATGTTTAAAAGTGTTTGCTTCCTGGTTTAAAAATTTTTTTTCAAGTGATGCATGTCCCTTTAATACTGTGTGACGTGACAACTATGTATACACCCTGGTCGGCTGGAGGTTTATACAATAAGCTCAGTTTTTATTTAGAAAATAAAGGAAGACTGGAGATTGGCTGAA